TTTTTTATGCATTTATATACACAAACTCAATTTTAATCATGTACGTACAACTCTGGTGGTATGAATTACAATAATTCCAAAAAATAATTGATAAAGTTATTTAAATATCATATTTTTTAAAAAGTATAAACAAATTTTACTGTATCATAGTTAACGTACTACCCTTTGCATACATATTGAGTGATCCATCTAATGTAATCCGCTCACTGAAAAGAGTGTCTTACATTACCTTGTATCACCTTGAAAATATTTATTTATGAATTGTTTTCATAACTATCACTGTATCATATTACTATATATTATACATTTACTTACCTTTTAAGTTAACTTGTGTACTTGACGATGGCGGCGTCACGGATTATAATATTTTGTTCTTGTAAAATAAAATAACATAATATATTTCTAGTCACATGTTGTTATTTGTATCCGAGTCAAAGCATAAAAAATATAACAAAAACGACATAGTATAAAAATCGTTTCTAGCGACTTGGGTAGAAACCTTGGAAAGTGACCTAATTTGTATGTATAATTTGGCCCTTTCCGTTCTCATTGGTGTACTACAAGAATACAAAATATGTAATAAATTGATATACAGAAAATTATTTTGTAATATTTCAGTATTTATTAATTATGAAGCATAATATTTCATTTATCATAATATGTGGTATTATTGACGCCAATAGGGCGGTTGATTGTAGTCTGGGAAATTCCCAGGGATTTCATACGACAACTCCAAAACCGAATTGATGAAATCTTTGTCGGCGTTACCCATCCATTTTTTGACTTGGTTGACGAAAATCACAGCCGACTCGTGGTTTTTTTCTAAAACGGTCGGGAATTCTTCCAACATTACTGTCTCGTTCAGGATTCGGTGAACGTCTCCATGGGCTATCTGACAGGCTTCGCAGCCCGGAAAATTCGAAGAGACTTTTTCCAATTCTAACCACACACGTCTGACGGCCGTAAGGTAAGTCGCCTGCTGGGGACTTTGGTCTTGCAAGAAAGTCAAAGTCTTCGCAAAGGTCTGGTCGTCGTGCAATCCGGTAACGTCGACAAAAGAGGTGATTGTCTCGTGCATTGCAGCGTTCATTTCTGGTCCTTTGACCTTTGCAAGCAACAAGTGAATGTATAACATTCGCAATACGACCATTTTAACCAGATTCAATACCACCGACCGATACTGTCTTATTCCTCCCAACGCCGTGTACAGGCTCGTAGGATTGTACGCCAATAAGCACGCTTTATGAAACTCCCCTGACACGTCGCCCCAAACTTCGCCGTATCTGCCAAATGAATTCATGTATCTATCAAAATGATCAACGACCTCGTATAGGTTGTTATAACCCAAGAGCCAGTTGTCGGCATCGATCAGTTCGTAGGATTTGTTTGCTTTGGTGACACGCACCAGGTTCGCGTGAATTTGGCGAAAGTGTTTTACAATCACGTGGTGAAAAATGTTATGCATCTCAGGACTACTATCATCGGTCAAGTAGAATTCGTTGTCACTCGGACAGTCGTGCATGGACTCCGTCAGTTGTTCGATGATCATTTTTTCCACACATTTCATTTGTCCGTAGTTAAATTTGCCTTTATATATGTGAAAATTTTTAACGTACAAATAGAGCAGCAACACCGGATACAGGATCCGGCGGTCGTATTTGGCGTTCATGTTGAAGAGTATCACCAAAGCGTCTTTTGAAATTTCTTCGAAACGTTCGAACTTAAGCCAGCTGGAGGCCGTTACTCGCATGATCGACAGACATATCGTTTGAACTCCGCACCGTGTGTTTAACTGGATCCATTCCTCTGTTCTGGCTAGATCCTGGCTGGTGCTTGGATCGGGATTGTCGTATCCCAGTTTCAAGTATACCAAAAATGCATTGTAATCTTCCAGAAGCGATTGTCCTTTGCAAACCGGTTCAAACGCCGCGTATACCACCGAATTCAGAGTATAAACGCAAAACAACAATGTCGTCGACAATAGTAAACCGCGGCGGTGATCCATCTGAAAAGCTTATAGTTTTTTTTTAATATTTCAAGTACTACCAAAGTGGATTCCGTCGCACAACTGAGCAGTACTCGAAGAACACAATAGATCCGAACACCATCACGATACGTATCATATTTTTCACAAAAACAGCAAAAGACAAACATTAAAAACAAATAGTGTTCACACGATTCTCGGCAGCATATTTGTATAGTTGTTGTTGTGAAAGCTTAAATATATTATTACCAAAACGGATAACAACTATAGTCTTCTACGCACATAGTCTTAGAACGGGAGGGGGGCTGGAGGGCTTTGGCACCTCAGAATTTTGAATACTTCCAATATTTTTGAAATTTTAGGTAGACATTTACTACTGTTAAATGTAATTTTTTCGTTTATGTGTTAGCCCCATTCTAGATCTACCCTCGGTCTAATCTGCACACTTAAAGCTCTTCAAGTACATCTAAAAACAAAAAAGAAATATTTTCCACCTCTCAGTCCTCATATCGTTCTGAATCGCATTTAACCACTATTATATTGGTCTTCCCCTTGGCGCCTACGTTTTTTTGCATAACCGTTCTTACTGCTTTCAATTGAAAAGATATCATTAAACATATACAATTTAAGTACATTGAAATAATACATATAGTATGTTTACACCTTCGTGATTGTTCTACATAAAAAATTGCTTATAAAATATATGCGTTACCATTTAAAAGCTCAAGTTGATAAAGTTTTAACACTTAAGTGATGGCTGTATATTTTTGACTAATTATATTGATGTATGAAATTTCGTTTTATCGGTAAATGAATAGATTTTCAATTGAAACCTACGCGTCGATAAAATTTTACTTTATAATGCAAATTGAGAACAATTTACAGCTATTATAATAAGAGAGTAAACATTATTCATTTTGATTAGGAAAACAGATACATAAGCGTGGAGAAAGAAGTGAAATTTAGAATTTTGGATTTAATGCTAATTAAATGTGATTAGCTCTTCGAAAAAGTATTTAAAAAAAAAAAGAACAAAACAAAATTTTGGGTAGGGAAAAATATAATTTTCTCTCTGGAGAAGTTGAGAAAAATTTCAAATACTCAAAAACGGTAGCAACCCTGTCAAATGATGCCCATTTAGTAGCATTTATGAACAAATAATATGCTCTTATACTGCTTGAACTGACCGAAAAGGATAGGATAAATATTTAACATGACTGTACAACATGACTTTTTAATTCACATACAAAATAATAGTTGGAATTCAAATTTCTTGTTACACAAGATATAGTTTACAGAAAAGATGAGCGACTTTTAACTATACCGAATTATAGCGACTATTACTAATACTATTGATAAACTCATGCGACTAGTAATAACTTTGAATTCGTAGGTAATTTAAAGTGATGAATAAAAAATTCGTTTTGTGCAATATTTTTTTTTAACAATATTAAATAATGGCATGATAAAATCTGTATCACCGTTTACAGTTAAAAATAGTATAATAAAATTGAATCATAAACGAAATTTACTTTTAAATGCATCTTCGTTTATTAGTTTTGAATATAAAATACACAATAAAATATTGTGATGTATTAGATTTAAATTTTAAATTAAATGTCTAAAAGTTTTAATATTTTCGTTGGACTGATTTTGTTTTCTTTAAAGAAGAACGGTTGAGACGACACGTTTGTTAATATTCGTAAATGGCAATGTGTATTATTTGTAATTAATTTATTAAAAACAAAAATATTAAATACTTTCAAGTGAATTAAGAAAATCGAAACCAGTAAGTAATAAGAATGCCGTACATTTTTTCACAAATACGTTTTGTAATAATTTTATTTTGAGCAATTTGGTGTGTTGGCAATGAAATGGTCCTATGATCGTCAACAATTAAATATTTGTATACAGTTATTTTATTAGATAAAACTTCTTCATTATTTTTAGAAAGTAGAAAAAGATTCTATCATTGTGTTTTTCAGTAGGTATTGGTGTGTAGTAAAAAGGTTGTATTTGTCAATTACAATTAAAAATGTTGCTGGTATTTTACTATCAATAATTGTTTTCTATTTTTTTAATTGATTAAAATTAATTTTTTTCTATATTTGATTACTTAAGAACCAGTATATTTTGTATATTACCAGACCAAGACACCAGGGCACTAGGTGTTATATATGTTAAAAGAGATCTCTTTTTATATTTTTATTTCTTTCTTTACTATTGAAAACCAAAATGTATTCGTCAAATTTTGTTTATGTTTTTTCTTGTAATAATACAAACCTAGTGTCTTTATTGACACCGTCGAACCCACGTCTTTACTACTTAATAATCCGGTGTTCTCCACTTCTTAACAACTCGGAGGCACTGTAGAGTATATTTTATTTTAAACTAAATGAAAAAATAATTACAGACATTTTCACATATACGCAAATACAAAATATATTCAAAAAGTTATAGATTTTACAAAACAATTTATCAATTTATCAAGGTTACAGTAAATACAGTTATACAAATAATAACAAGTCAAGAAATAGATATAACAAAAAAGCCCAAAGAGGGTGATCGTAGACCGCCGCATTGGTGATTGCGCTCTCGAGGAAGCTGCGACCTACCGTCCTCACCGTCATTCGAAAATACATTCAAAATACATTTCATTAAACAATTTATCAATAAGGGTTACAGGTAAATACAGTTATACAAATAATAACAAGTGTCAAGAAATAGAACCACAAAAAGCCAAAAAGAACGGCTAATCACAGTATACGCGATGGCCTGGGTGATCGTAGACCGCCGCATTGGTGATTGCGCTCTCGAGGAAGCTGCGGCCTACCGTCCTCACCGTCATTTCGGGTTATTGACGGGCCACTAGGTCAGCTAGCCGAACGCGCCGATCGAGTGATGGACGCACAAGTGTCGAGCAGAGCATTTGAGTTTTCTGGACGACTGACAATCGGCACGACGCTCAATCGAAACCGCCATCATGCCATCACTGACGGCGCAGATTTGTGCGGTTTTTATACACTATATTTCGGGTTATTCAAGACGTGTAACCGTTTTCCTCCCGGTCGACACAAGATTGCTCGGTTAGTCTTGTTTGATTCGATGATCAAACAAGGGATTTGCCCCAGGCCATCGGCCAGCGGCCGGGCCAGCAATCGACAAGAAGGGTTGCCCTCCTGTACCGGAGCGCGTCACGAATGGCCGTTACCGAGCACCAATAAGGTGCCTTAAGGTGCAATAAGGCCTTCGACGGTTTTCGGGTTGGCTCTACTTTTACCGCCGTTTCGTTCGTCTACATGCGCCGTTTGTAAAATTTGGCGGCACAAATTAAGAACCGAAGCCGGGCGGTTGCTTGGACGGATGAGACCCGTTAAGTGTTATGCTAATTCTTCCAAGCAGTCTCTTGGTTCGCTGCCATAGTGACCGTCGGCGTGGGCGGTTTTTTTGTCCTTCGTCAAATCCTAATAAAAACATTAAAAGTAATATATATATATATATATATATATATATATATATATATATTCTATTGAGTTTTTTATAATTAAACATAGTTTACAAAAAAACAAATTAGTGGGGACGGAGAGGTCACGGGTCTACAGATTTTATTAGAACTGAAAGTGATAAAATCACTTTTAAATAAACGCTTCGATGCGAATCTGTGGATAGTATGTTCAAACTAGTTATAGCGGTTTAGAAGATATCATGGGACCAGCAATAATGTACTTTAAATTTAATATTTAGTCTTGTGCATGATGGATACGATAAGGGTTCATCGTCTATCTATACAATTTTATAAAAAGTGCCATCTGTATGATTAAGTTTTAACGTGCAAATTGATCTAAAAATAATTCATAAATCATTTTTACATTGCTAGATTACCTCTACCTATATGGAAGAAAACATTTCATACACCATAATTTAGCATTAATCGGATAGTAAAACTAAATATTGAAAATATTTTTACACTCCCCCTTGACAAATTCCTGGGGACGCCCTTGATTTTAACATAATGATTTATGTTTGAGATCTCGGATAACATCAAATATTTATTTTAAAACATTTCTGTAATTTAAAACTAACCGTACATAAATATATAATATAAAGGGTGTTTGTACAAAAATAACTTGTACCTACTTTCCAAATAGGTTGAATGGTGATTTTTTTTTCATATTATTTTTATACAATGTGATCTCAACTTTTCACAATTTATTTTATTTTTACCCCCCTCCCAACTTGGTTTTTTCGATAGCAACTTTTGAAACTTAAATGTTAACGTATATATTTTATTAACTTTTTTAAAATGAGAATAATGTACTAAAAAAGGTTTTCACATAGTTCTTACATATTATATTTTAACAGCTTGCGTACGTAAACATATCAAGTTTCTGGCTAATATTTTAGTGTTTTCATAATATCTGGCTCAACACAATTCATAGAGAATTTGGCCCCTTAAATTATTGAATTTATTATTCATTTCTACTTTAAACGTTGTAGGGTGAGCAGGGGCGGTCATATGCCCAATGTATTGTTTCACACATAAACCTCAGGACCTCAGGACCTCTTGACCACAATGGTATGTGTTTTTTTTTTGTACGAATATTAAAAAAGTTATAGAATTTTCAAAATGTGGCTGCTTTCTGGAACTCTATATATAAAAAACTGTATCTAATTTCAGGACGATCTCGAAACAAATTTAAATTAATACGAATTAATCATGTTGTATGAGATTTAAAAATCACACCCAACAGTCAACATGATAGTATTTCTTTTTTTTGGGGGGCGGGGGAAGTGGGATTTTTAATGAATATTTCAAAATATATGGTTGTTTTTATATATTACATTATTTTAAATAAAATACCTGGGTCCTCGACCGAGTTAAGTTTTCCGTCTTCAACTCCATTTCTCCGTATAATCGGCATCTGGGTGTCGGGTCTACCCACGGCAGCTGGACCCGCGTTTTGCTGTTCCGCGACATTGTCTTGTCTTAAAATGGATATTTGCTCGGCGTGTCCGGAGGAGGTAGCCGAGACCGCGTTTTTCTGTTTCCTGCCTTTGTCTCTCCTTAAAATGGAAATACGTTTGGCGTGTCCGGAGGCGGCAGCCGAGACCTCGTTTTTCTGTTCCGTGACTTTGTCTTTCCTTAAAATGGATATTTGCTCGGCATGTCCGGAGGTGGCAGCCGGGACCACATTTTTCTGTTCCGTGACTATACCTTGTCTTAAAATGGATATTTGCTCGGCGTGTCCGGAGGCGGCAGCCAAGGTTGCGTTTTTCTGTTCCGTGACTATGTCTTTTCCGAAAATGGATATTTGCTCGGCGTGTCCGAAGGCGGCAGCCAGGACCACATTTTTCTGTTCCGTGACTATGTCTTGTCTTAAAATGGATATTTGCTCGGCGTGTCCGGAGGCGGCAGCCGGGGTCGCGTTTTTCTGTTCCGTGACTTTGTCTTGTCTTAAAATGGATATTTGCTCGGCGTGTCCGGAGGCGGCAGCCGAGACCGCGTTTTTCTGTTCCGTGAATTTGTCTTTCCTTAAAATGGAAATACGTTTGGCGTGGCCGGAGGCGGCATTTGAGACCACGTTTTTCTGTTCCGTGAATTTGTCTTTCCTTAAAATGGATATTTGCTCGGCATGTCCGGAGGTGGCAGCCGGGACCACATTTTTCTGTTCCGTGACTATGTCTTGTCTTAAAATGGATATTTGCTCAGTGTGTCCGGAGGCGGCAGCCAAGGTTGCGTTTTTCTGTTCCGCGACTATGTCTTTTCCGAAAATGGATATTTGCTCGGCGTGTCCGGAGGCGGCAGCCGGGGTCGCGTTTTTCTGTTCCGTGACGTTGTCTTGTCTTAAAATGGATATTTGCTCGGCATGTCCGGAGGTGGCAGCCAGGACTACATTTTTCTGTTCCGTGACTATGTCTTGTCTTAAAATGGATATTTGCTCGGCGTGTCCGGAGGCGGCAGCCGGGGTCGCGTTTTTCTGTTCCGTGACTTTGTCTTGTCTTAATATGGATATTTGCTCGGCGTGTCCTGAGGCGGCAGCCGGGGTCGCGTTTTTCTGTTCCTTGACTATGTCTTGTCTTAAAATGGATATTTGCTCGGCGTGTCCGGAGGCGGCAGCCAAGACCGCGTTTTTCTGTTTCCTGCCTTTGTCTCTCCTTAAAATGGAAATACGTTTGGCGTGTCCGGAGGCGGAAGCAGAGACCGCGTTTTTCTGTTCCGTGACTTTGTCTTTCCTTAAAATGGATATTTGCTCGGCATGTCCGGAGGTGGCAGCCGGGACCACATTTTTCTGATCCGTGACTATACCTTGTCTTAAAATGGATATTTGCTCGGCGTGTCCGGAGGCGGCAGCCGGGATCGCGTTTTTCTGTTCCGTGACTATGTCTTGTCTTAAAATGGATATTTGCTCAGTGTGTCCGGAGGCGGCAGCCAAGGTTGCGTTTTTCTGTTCCGTGACTATGTCTTTTCCGAAAATGGATATTTGCTCGGCGTGTCCGAAGGCGGCAGCCGAGATCGCGTTTTTCTGTTCCGTGACTTTGTCTTTCCTTATAATGGATATTTGCTCGGCGTGTCCGGAGGCGGCAGCCGGGACTGCATTTTTCTGTTTCGTGACTTTGTCTTGTCTTAAAATGGATATTTGCTCGGCGTGTCCGAAGGTGGCAGCCGATACCGCGTTTGTCTGTTCCGTGAATTTGTCTTTCCTTAAAATGAAAATACGTTTAGCGTGGCCGGAGGCGGCATTTGAGACCACGTTTTTCTGTTCCATGACATTGTCTTTTCCGAAAATGAATATTTGATCGGCGTGTCCGGAGGTGGCAGCCGGGACCACATTTTTCTGTTCCGTGACTCTGTCTTGTCTTAAAATGGATATTTGCTCGGCGTGTCCGAAGGCGGCAGCTGGGGTCGCGTTTTTCTGTTCCGTGACTATGTCTTTTCCGAAAATGAATATTCGCTCGGCGTGTCCGAAGGCGGCAGCCGATACCGCGTTTTTCTGTTCCGTGAATTTGTCTTTCCTTAAAATAGAAATACGTTTGGCGTGTCCGGAGGCGGCAGTTGAGACCACATTTTTCTGTTCCATGACATTGTCTTTCCTTAAAATGGATATTTGCTCGGCGTGTCCGGAGGCGGCAGCCGGGGTCGCGTTTTTCTGTTCCGTGACGTTGTCTTGTCTTAAAATGGATATTTGCTCGGCGTGTCCGGAGGCGGCAGCCGAGACCGCGTTTTTCTGTTCCGTGACTTTGTCTTTCCTTTTAATGGATATTTGCTCGGCGTGTCCGGAGGCGGCAGCCGAGACCGCGTTTTTCTGTTTCCTGCCTTTGTTTTTCCTTAAAATGGAAATACGTTTGGCGTGTCCGGAGGCGGCAGCCGGGACTGCATTTTTCTGTTCCGTGACTTTGTCTTGTCTTAAAATGGATATTTGCTCGGCGTGTCCGGAGGCGGCAGTTGAGACCACGTTTTTCTGTTCCATGACATTGTCTTTCCTTAAAATGGATATTTGCTCGGCATGTCCGGAGGTGGCAGCCGGGACCACATTTTTCTGTTCCGTGATTATGTCTTGTCTTAAAATGGATATTTCCTCGGCGTGTCCGAAAGCGGCAGCCAATACCGCGTTTTTCTGTTCCGTGAATTTGTCTTTCCTTAAAATGGAAATACGTTTGGCGTGTCCGGAGGCGGCAGTTGAGACCACATTTTTTTGTTCCATGACATTGTCTTTCCTTAAAATGGATATTTGCTCGGCGTGTCCGGAGGCGGCAGCCGGGGTCGCGTTTTTCTGTTCCGTGACTATGTCTTTTCCGAAAATGAATATTTGCTCGGCGTGTCCGAAAGCGGCAGCCGATACCGCGTTTTTCTGTTCCCTGCCTTTGTCTGTCCTTACAATGGAAATACGTTTGGCGTGTCCGGAGGTGGCAGTCGAGAAGGTCTTCCGTTTTTCCACAACTTCTGACATCTGCGGACATAAAAAGTAATTTTCTTGTGTTACTTATAATTTACTAATAACTCCCTCAAAATAAATAATACTTTGTATGTAATTGAACAAAAAACTAGTATTTTCAAAATTCGTGTTACTTAAACAAATACTTTAAAATATCGTGCATAATAATTTAAAAAAAAAACAAATGTTGTCTTCGGTCAAAGTCAGGATTAACTTATCTGGTCATCTTTTTATAGTCACGGTAATAATGTGTATATTTGTGGTATGTAAATTATGGTATCATGCGTGAACACTGGTTTCCTAACTGGTTTGAAAACAATTTTCCCAAACTTGTACAAAATAGTACATGTGCGGTCAGACCAGGATGCTGTCTGACATATTAGACTTCATACTTTGGTTTGGAAGTAACGATTAGCCACGCCAGCCATGGACAATATGACTATTTACACTATTTTACTGGTAGACATAAGTCTCATAAGCGGTGTACTTACCGGTCGCTGAACAGGGCAAACCGCTTTCTCGACTGTCGGTATCGGCAATGTTTGGCACGATACACTGACCATGGTGGATGTTTGAGTGGACGCGCAGACCGTATTCAAAGCCACAGCTGATGTTATATTATGTTGACATACCGGTGGCGGTGGTGGTACGCTGGTATCAATAAATGCCGGCGGTGGCCTAGTCAAGTCCGCCATCGTCGGTGGTGGTATGGTGGTGTTGATATACGACACCGGCAATTGTTGCATGTCCACCTACAACGGCGAAGGCGGGAAAAACGATTTGAGTGTACAAGTTTTCAAGTTGTCATGTGGACATAAGTCATATTCAGCGTACTTACCGGATACGGTTGGTACAATGGAATTGCCATAACTGGTTGCGCCGGGTAAAGTTGGTCGAACAGCGCCTGCTGATCGACCGTCTCGTCGACAACAATCTGAAACGGCCGAATATAACTATTATCGACGTGCTAATCTCTTAATAAACGTGTATGATAAAATCTTATAGTAAATACGTACCCAGTAGGAATAATGGCTTGTTGAATCCATTTAAAAAAAAAGTTAATACAAAATGAATTAACAAGCTGCGTAATTATAATAAGTAAGTTAATACAAAATGAATGTTTCAGGTAGATTCAAAATAATAACAATTTAACACAAATTTAATATTTAATTTTACACAAAAAATAATTTTATAAAACAAAATAAATGTTTATAAATAATAAATATAAGTAATAGTTACAAAAAACAAAAGAGACTCAAGATCAAAAAGTAGTTTACAGCAAGAATTATTAAAGAACAGTTTATACAAAGTTAAATGGTAAATTACAAAATGAGTTATAACGACAAACAATATATATATATATATGTAAATAACAAACCATAACAACGGTAACGCTGTTATTTAAAAAAAAACATTTTAGAATTGTTTCTAGCCGTCAACTAATTTTCTTGAACAAGTTATCATATGGTAATTAAATATACAAATCGATTATTGCTAGAGTAAAGGTCAGGTAAAATAAAAATTAGTCCATTCCGGGGATAGTTTTGTGATATTACTTTCGTCCTGCCCTTAAAATACGGTTGTACGGTTTTATTTCATTAAAAATACAAATATTATATCGTTTGTGTGTACGAGAAATTATAAAAAAATTACAAACATATTTCGACATCTTATTTTTTCATTAAAATTCGTCCGTGGATGGTCTTAGTCCTCTTAATAAAATCTGTCAGTTAAAAAATACACCCCCCCCCTTTTTTTATATGTAGTGGGCACGTAAAAAAAATGTCCCGTAAGTAAACCTTGTAATTAACAGTTCAATGAAGTAGTCTTTTCTTCTATTAACTTTTTCACGATGAACACTTAACATACATACACCATTTAATTGGTCTTCACCCGTCGTAAACCGAAGCCAAGTTTTAACTCTTCGTAAAGTACTAAAAGACCTTTCGGCTGTACGACTTGCGGCTGGTAAAGAAAGAAAAAAGTCTAATGCAGTTGTAATGCCAGGGGGAAATATTTCGCTATGTTCTAGTAAATTTATAATGTCCATGCTTAAGCGGTATTTTTTTAACCATAAACTATACCTACTTTTATTCGTGTTTTAACGATATTTTAGGTATTGTTTATCGAAGATATAGATTTGCAATTTGGTGATATTTATTAGAAGAAACGGTGAAGTGTTTTTTTTTTTAATTTTGAAAATTTAGATTACATTAAAATATTTACACAATATCTACAAAAATATCTACTGCCTTTCCGAAGCATATCATATAATTTGCCCACAGGTCCTGTACCCTAATGGAAATATAAAATAATTACCAAAGGAAAAATTAAACTTTCTATTAAACCACTTTTAATGTTCACACATTTAGAGAAAATTCAAAGAAATAGCTAAATGCTGATCCACTGTATCATTTTCCCAACAAACTTCATTATTGTAGATGAGCCGTCAAATTATCCGGAATCGCGATATTTGGAATAAACAGGTAACTTGTTACTCATGTTATCAAATTCTTTAAAGATCGCCTAAACATTTGTTAAAAAAACTTACACAGTAATGTTTATATAAACAAAATGTTAACAGCAAACTTTTCAGAACATTAGAAAACATTTATTACCACCAGTGATGCATTTTCACACACCGGTTCTGGAAAAAGGCCCATGTTCATTGCTTTTCTAATGTTAAACAAATATAATCGGTCTTGTCCGTCTGAAAATCATCAAATGCAATAGGAATATATAATAATATTACAATTTTCTTACTTAAAAAGGCCTAAATTAAGTGTACATTATTATTAAAAATTATATTTACCGTTAACTTCAGTCATAACCGTGTCGATTTGAGATGTTGGTAATAATTTTCTCATAATGTTTCACGATATCGTCACGGGTAATATAATTTCTGATCTCTAAGCTAGGAATAATTGCTACAAACTCATTTAATAAGTACTTTTTTACTCTTGTGTTAAAGTTCTATTTAGTTCTAAAACAAATATTTAAAAGTGTGTCCAATTAATATTTTAAGAAAAATAATGACGTCAAAATGCATTAAAGTTATTATGCTTAATTAAGTGTGTTTAATATTCATTAAAATAGATATTTATATGATGTTGAGAAATAAAAAAACAATATTAGCTATTTTCACGTGTTAATTTTCCTGAATATTTTAACAGTCAGTTTAGTAGTTGATGTTTTAATTTTAAAAAAATGTAAAATATTTTTATTTGTTCATACACTAATCTCCCTCCCTCCTACTTCATATAGAAATAAAAATACTAATAATAGCTCAAGTATTTATTCAAAACTCGTTATCGCCAGTCAAAAAATCCTACACTTATCGTTTGATAATTGTTTTAAAACATAGCAAATTTCCACGCATAATTGTCGTTTGTGTTAGAGTTGAAACTTTAAAAGTAAAGTAATGCAATATTTTCAATATTTTTTTGGCGCAATTTTAAGACTAAAATATATTATTCAATTATTAAACTGGAGGTAGGTCTAATATAACATGTATAAAAAAAAAAATCTGTTTTGAAAAATACAATTTGTATTCAATCAATGGTATTGTTTAGTAAACACCAGCTGCGTCGCTGTCTGTATACTTCACGGTAGTTTATACCACGGTATAAAAGACAGAGGTGTGTTTATATAGTTTATCACAGCTGATTAGATAGATTAGAGTTTTATCTTATCTTTGGTGTTATCTTATATTACCAATAGGTAAACACTGAACTCGAATCTTGATGATAATGGCTGTTTACTGTAGGAACCAGCTGCCGAACAGCCACTTTCAAAATAATTGAGAAATCTATAAAGAACGAGTAACAGAACTCAACATTGGAGTGCTGTACATTTTCAAGTTTGTTAAAAGTGTTTTTTTCAGTGATTAAAAAAAACGAACGCCCAAGTAGGTATGTTCAGAATTAAGTTAAAATGTTTGAATCTATTCGCGTACAAATCGTTGATGAACATTCTCAAATATCAGAGGAGCAAAATCACTATAAACTATCATCCAGATGTTGCTGCCCGGTCAAAAAATGTAAGTCGATTTGAATGATTTGCAAAACTTAAGCGTGTCAAATTTGTTTTTCGGGGTATTTCAGATCGGGTTTACCCAAATGATGAGTTTGTCTATTCCTTTTTTTGGATATAATGCGGTCAAAGAAGATTCTGAATCCGACGTGAATGCCAAACTCGACTTCAATAAGAAGTTGGAAGAAGCCGATCAGCTGTTTCTCGAAGACAAATATGAAGACGTCGTCAATGTCTTAGACGAATATAAGGTATAGTTAAAATAATTGAAATACTCAATTAAACGCGTTATTATAATGTTACCAGATGTTGTTAGTAAATGTTTGTATATTTCCGTAGAACTCGAACGATGTCCAAGTGCTTTGGCGTTTGAGTCGTGCTTTGTACAACATGAGTTTGGCAGAAGACATTAATGAAGACAAACGTAAAAATTTGATATTGAATGCTCACCAATTGATTTTGAAAGCCCTGAGTATTGATACAAACATTTTCGAGGTTCATAAATGGGCAGCCGTTTTAATCGACGAACACAGCGGTATTATAGGGATCAAAGAGCGAATTAAGTCACTGGAAACTGTAAAATATCACATGGAAGTATGTTTATGATTTAAAATCAACAAAATTATGACATTTCTCTCTGTCAAAAATAAAAAAAAAAATTAAAGAAACTGACACATATTTTTTTACTTTAAAACTATAGTAATAGCTATAAAAATGTTTAAGTTTTGGTTTTTTATTATGATTTAAACCGTATATTATTTATTGAAAATAGTGGACATAATTAAAATACATTTTTATTGAAATAATAGTTAAAAATAATAATGTACTTTATAACTTAATTATAAAACTTGTTGAGAACAAAACAGTTAGTTTGATAGTCAAATAAAAATGCTTTGAAATTATAAACAAATAAATAATTAAAAATAATTAATTATATTTTATAACAATAAATAAAAATGTATTTCAAATAACTCATTATTTTTAAATAAGTATTTTATATATTTTTTTAATAAAAAATGCCCTAGTTTGATTCACTGCATCTTAAATGTTTATTACAGTGTAATTCAGCGATTGAAAACATTCTCGAACCAAAATTTGTGTTATTCGTTATAATTACAACTAACAACAATAAAAAAAATCTATTACAGGACCAATATTTTATATTTATCCAGAAGGAATAACTTTTAAACATTTTTGACTTACAATTTTTTTTTCAGTTAAGCTATCAAAATATTATACTATTAGTTATTTCAATTAATGTTTGTTGTAGTTATAAGAAAAATAACGTTAATTTGGTTTTGGAAGCATTTTCAATCCCTGATGAAATTTGATTGGAAATAAAAATAACATAATAATATTGTGCAAGTCTATAATTAAAATATAACTTGTGTCTATATTTTTGTCAAACAGAACCTATCCCAACATCGCTGAAGACGCCAATTGTGTTAGACATATTTAATCCTTCTAATTCTGTTTAAATTTTGATGGTTTTTTAATTTGTGAAGCTTATTTGAATAACTGCTATTGATCAAATGAAATAATTATGTATCGGAATATGCAATGCTTGAGTTAGACGATCTAAAATTAACGTAGATATTTAAAAATTATAGATAGACAGAGGAAAAATGAAGGGTCAAAAAATGTCAGTTTGGTATTAGGTAATTGGTAATTTGTTAAAATATATATTATTTTTCAGAGAGCGTTGGAGTTAAATCCAAAAGATCCGACAATACGGTACATGATTGGTTACTGGTGAGTGGAGTTTTATCGCTGTATCTATTTTCACAAATATTGATCGATAATCGTTGTTTTAAGGTGTTATTCAGTTGCCGACATGCCCTGGTATCAACGGCAAATAGCGGCTACTCTATTCGGTGCATCCATTCCTGTATCTTCTTACGAGGAAGCCTTGGCTTACTTCAGAGAAGCTGAAAAGTTGCAACCATTATTCTACAGGTAACGCTAGTGTATAAAAGTATTTGAAAAATAATTTGATAAATTAAAAATAATAATAATTTACAGTAAAAATCTTCTAATGTTGGGCAAGACATTTTTGAAAATGGATTCCAGTTTTAGCGCCGAGTACTATTTAAAATTGGTAGTTCAATATCCTGCCAAAACGGTGGAAGATCACCAGGTATATGTTTTTTTTAACTTACTCTATTTCGATGAAATATTTTATTTTTATAATAAATTCATACCAATGTCAACAGTATTTAGTAGTTACACGACTAGTGGGCTTAACTAGGTCGATGTGGCCAACGGTAAGGTTGGTTTGACCGATCTTAGCTGTATAGTCGACAGGATTGTTGTATTTACACTTAGATTTTTTTTTTTTTAAACTGATATATTACTCAAAGACTTAATGCACTTTTTGATGTTTTATCATACGTTTGTTTTAATATAAAATGTGTGCTTTCTAGGCAAAGAAAGAAGCGGCCAAACTACTGAAGTCTTCGTTTGGTTATTAACAAATTTGCAATAATTGTTTATTATTGTAATACCTGCTATTTTGTCTTTTTTTTTTTTTTTGTCGTTAAAAATTATTTTTTTTCAACAAATATTATCTTTTTTACGTCGAATATGTTTTATCACTAGATTCTTGTATCGATGTGTTAATAATTGACAGTTTTAAACGGTTTTAGTTTATCATTTTCTATGATATTTTATTTTGCTTATTCACAGAGTTAATTGACTTCGTATTTGCACAAAATAATTATTAATTCCTCTATGCTTAAGATATTACTGATATAATTTGTAATAACTATTTTTTTTTTACGCTTAATTAAAGAGTAACTCTTAAAGAATTACTCTTAATTACTCATTGTGACTTTTGTCAAGATAGGTAAATAAATTTGCCTAAGTAGCTTATCTAAACATTGTAATACTAGAATACGGGTAGGTAGTCCTTCAATTTGATTTAAGATCTATTTTGATTAAGTATTATAATTTATAAGTATAGCGAGACACCTTAAAAGTTGTTTTCGTTTTTAATTTAAAACTTTTGTGTTCCTGTTTACAAAAATTATCTAGTTAGTATTTTAAGTGATTTTCGTTTTTTTTTTGGCTGTGTATCTATTTACTATTATGTTTTCATCCTATCGTTTTAATTTTTAATTTTGTACTAGATACTCATTATTATTATTTTTTTTTAATATCATTTAAGTTAAGTTAAATTATTGTTTTTTTATTTTTTTGCTTCCTATGACGGTTTGAAATACAATTAATAAAACCTCTTAAGTAACGCTTTGAAAACTGCAAATGTAATTAATTTCTTCGCCTCATTCCAGACAAATCTGATTCCACATACATAGTTTTTAGATTACATACAATTACACATTATTTTTTTTATACATAATAAAACCATACTTTAGAAATATGTTGTATTTTATTTATAAGCATAAATGTGTATTCAGTCATCAATGGCAAACGGATTCGGTAAAAGTTTTATTGGAAATCAATAGAAATAATAAACAGAACTTTTAACATAGGTAGAGGTTGTTTACCTGTTATAAATTAACAAATTAAATTAAAAATTCCTGGTTTTTTTTTTCCAGTTTTGCAAACGATATGAACATTGTAGAAGTTTGTTGGAAGCTGAAAAACTTTTTAGCAAAAAGTGTATTGTGCTACTATTTTTTATCTCAACAATTGTAAAATGCATTCAGTATAATTACACAATTTTCATTATTATTCATTTCTATTTTTAAACAGATTGAAAAGAAATGCTTTCGATAAATAATAATTTTAAAAAGTGATCGATTTGTAAAGAGCAAAGTTTTTGTAGAATTTCTAAAAAAAAAAAATATAACTAAAACGGTGTATTAGTGTCTTGACACTAATATGCAATTGAAATTCGAAGTACTTGGAAATATATGCGTGTATTTATAAACCCTTGTAACATTTTCAATTATGATAATATAAATACCGTAATTATTATATTTTTTTTTATCAATCAATTTATTTCAATATTTTTTTTTATTGTCTAAAGGCTTCGCCTTGTCACTTCAACCAATCTTCTCTTTTATCTGCTAGTCTTTTCATTTCTTCATAACTTGCTAGAGCTAATAGCTTTAGCAAGTTATTTGAAAGTGATTTTATCACTGGCAATTGTAATATTTCCTGTAAATATATGACCTCCCCGACCCCACTGTAATGGCATTTTACTTTTATAAGGTGCTTGTATTTAAGGTAAAATTTAAGTTTTCTGCAAAAACCGACAAGACAACCATCATAGTTGAAGTTCTCTTTTTAACGGTATCGACAATTTTTTTTTCTACGACTATTTCGCTTTGGCCTACACGCTTTTCCATAAACACGTTTTTACGATTATTTTTAAAGAGTGTGTGGTTTAAAGGGTTCTCTTAAGAAAAAAATAGTCTAGAAATGTATTTATATTTTTTCGCGCCAAAAAAAACTTGGACAGGCGTCAAGAGATTATACTACCATATACTAGGTATATGGTCACATTATATTATTATCCCAATAAAAAGGCGCCGCCGAGAAAAACTCGACAATGTGTTATCGTCCACCGTATGAGTTCCAATAGAAATTTTAGTTTTTTTTTAATTTTTTTAAAATTAAACATGGTACATTTCTTTTCGGTCTTTTATTTTACACATTTTTCCCCTTCCAAATTTGATGTAATCAAGTTTTCATGGCGGTTAACGTACTAGCAAATATGTACAGATATATTTAATTTTGTTTTAAGTATACTTACTATTATTATATATGTAGGTAGTTGTCTGTATGGCGGCAACGGTTTACGGTATAACCAGTTACGAGCTGCATTTTGATTTGCATATTTTGATGTGTATTTTGACTGATGGACATTTGCACACACACACACACTCACACGGTATGAATTCGAGCAGACATATTATTACCATACACCTACCCGTATAACGATACTGTGATTCCGGTAACCTACTTAACGTTTGGGAATTCAAAACGCGGTATACCTACATATTATATTGCATTGGGGTTCGACTTGATTATATAGGGTTTTCCCTTTGCGGTGTCCTTAATATTATGAATTCATTTTAACGGCTAAAGTCTAAAACCCTAGTTTTGAGATTGATCCGTCCGCTCGGCGTCCGGTACGATTTCACGCAGGCAATACGGTACATAAAATATTATAATATCACATGATATAAGTCGATTAAACTGGAGTCTGGATGTGATTATTAATATGCCCTTTAAGGGGAGGCGTTTGGGGTTAATTTTTAACGGTTTATACCCAAAATAATAATTTATAATATTTTGATTAGGTATCTCTCTCTCTCTGTACACTATACCCGATCAGAAACGCAGACATTATTAATAAAAATCTTAAACTCTTCACTGCACTTCTACATGCCAAGGTGATTGTAATATAACTCTAAATAACAAAATCCGTTCATTTGTTTCAGAGAGCAGCGTGGCTAAAGAAAAATTTACCATTTTCAAATGTAAAAACTTTTATAATTTATTTTTAAATTCATATTTTGTACCTTTTTGATAAGCTCTTTCTATGAGATTGGAATCAACTTTCTACCTCTAATAGTTTAAGAGAAAATTGAAAATTTATCCGATCTACCTGTATAATATTATCTTATATAAAAGCTAAGAAAAATATCTATCATCTCAATATTAATGTGTAGCATTTTGTTTTTTTCCCTATGTACAACAAGCTCTTTAAGTTATCAACATGACATTTTTTTTTCATTTCAATTACCATAAATTTACTCGTTTTTTTTTTTAAAAAACTAAGAAAGTACAAAAATATGTGTTTTATTGATTTCTTTAGATTTAACGTTTCCGGGTTTAACGAACACCATTCATTGGTCTCCTTAAGACCAATAAATTGTATCATTTAATTTTTTTGAAAATGGAAAGCCTCGTGTGTGTTTTGAGTGGATGTGCTTAATATTAATTAATCGTTTTGTGTATTCCAATCAGCCACTACTGAGTATTCTCTCTCTATTTAATATGTATAATATATTATTTATACAAATCATGAACGGTGTTATACAATCTACTCGGACCTAAGTTAAGCTGATCGTGCGTTTGACCGCATTGTAGATCCAAATGTTTTAATCAGTTGCATTGAAAAAAATAAATAGTGGCAAAGACACGGTGCTGTGAAAATTTGATCAATAAAAGTCAATTGCAATGATCAACATTTTTTGGTAGGTATCATTCATTATATTTTAGTTCTCTATAGTTTTTCTTTGGTACCTGCACAAATAATAAAAAATAATTTAAGTTAATTTACCGGACGGACCGCTCGAATTAATTATTGTTTATCCATATAAACTGAGTTTTGAACATTGTGCACGTTGAATCTATTGTATTCATTATACATAATATTTCTTAAATTATTGAAAAATTATAATAGTTATAACTTTTTGTATTATATAAAAAGGGCATTAACTCATTTTATTGACAATAATTGGGGTAGGTATACTGTAAATGAAGTACAATTATTTATACAATTCACAAATGAATTCTACTACCATCTGTTCTATATAATGTTTTTATTATTGACGATTGGCACTGAAGATGAGACTGTATCTTTATTTCTTACTTATCGTTAGACTCGCTAATATCATCTTGTGTCGTTAATATGTTTGGAATAAAAAACAAATAAATTTGTAGTTATTATATTTACCGATACTGAATAATTCATTTGATTATATTTGATTTACATTTTTTTTTTTTTGCTGTATTTATTAAAACTATTTAGTTATAATTTATATGTATAACAATGCAAATATTAACATATTAATACTTAGCACAATAATGTGTTTACACATGTTAAATGTTGAAATAACATTATACCTTTATTCAGCTTACATTAAAAAAAATATAATTTTACTTATGGACGCTCATGCCCTATGAATAATTGTATAAAAAATCTATATAGTATATACCAAATTATGTAAGTATAGGGCTCGGCCATATTGTACGGTTGATCAAAATTAGTGATGGGAATCCGAAAATCCGGATTTCAACAAAAAAAAGGCTATTTAAAAATCTTTTAAGCATTATATATTATTACAATATAAAGCTGTGTAGGTACCCATGTAAAATATTTTTGATGAAAACGTAAAAATGGAAACACAACGTTAAAAATATAAATGGTTTTTGGATTTCGGATTCGTTGGAATCCGAAGATCCAAAATCTGAAAAAATGTACCTATAATCAAAGTTAACCTTTTTTTTTTTTAATTTCACCAAAACATTTTACTTAGGTACACAGCTATATACTATAGTAATATTTTTGATAAAAAAAAAAATAATAGTATTTAATACATCTATTAGGTTTTCAAATGGCTTATAGAGCGTTTTATTTTAAAAATTAGGATTTTCAGATTACCGCCACTTGAGTTAAATAAACGGCGTATGACATTATTACTTATGATCAGAGTTGGACATTATTTAGATAATTTTTTATCTAAATAATTATTTAAACAATTTTTTTATTCGAATATCCGTCGAATAATTTATTCAAATGAATAATCTTGTATTTGGTCGAATAAAAATATGATTCGAATAAATCGTCTTAGAATAAAGAGATTATTCGAATAAATTAGTTGTTTTTTCGTTGTTTGAATAAAAAATGTGAAACTCTGTATATAATGTGGACCGCGGCATATTATACTTGTCGGCTGCACTATACAGTGGAAGTTTCCGGGCCTGGGGCTGTAGCCGTGTTGTCGCCTAGTTCTCTCCACGGGTCGAGGGACATTTTTATTAAACTTTTGCAGCTCACCCTGTCGTTGCCGATTCGCCGAGAATTGAGCATCACGTGCGGCTGAACTGAGCCAATTTCTTCGGAATTGTCGCAAATTATTGCCGCAAACGTGGTTTTCCGCACTTCAGACAGTTGATCTGTTACACACACACACACACACACACAAACAGTATCTATAATACATTGCTGCAGTAATATCTGATGTGCTTGAAGCGATCGTTGAACGAAGACATTTGACTACAGATATGGACAGGAATCATGATAGAAATATACTAGGTCAGAAGGGCATACATACTCCTTCATAAAATATTCCACGGTAAAAACAAATATGGCAGCGTAACGGGAGCCTAAATCAAGTATATAATATGTACACGGTAAAATATAGTATAGTAATAGTAAAATTGATATGTCCTTACGCTGCCATTTTATTTCTGAAGATAACAGTTCGAGACGACGTGCAATAAGGCTGTTGTTGGTTGTATATTATTTCAACCTTGGGTAGGATTATTACTTCCGGCTAACTTGGATTGTTTTTTTAAAGTTTTTCAAACGAATCAAGGACTAATAATAGGTAATCCATTATTCCAGTGGTCGGATTATTGGATTACAGTCAATCCAGAAAAACGGGAATACTGATTAAAAGTAATTACGTTCATGAGGATTTCTAGGTAAAGATTACAATTTTATTTTTCATGTGCTGTACTGTATTTTCATTTGTGCAAATCAAATTTTTCTTAAAAAAAAATTAAATTCTTTAAATTAATCGACTATTTTCAAACGAACGAAGAAATCATTGATAATTATAACCACTTGTTAGTGTTTGTAATTTGTAATTAATCAAAAATTTGAATAAAACAAACGATTTAAATGCATTTTTAATTTAACTCTAAAAAAATGTTAATTAAACACAATATTTTGGATTACCGGAACAAATGTAATTCGTAATCCAACAACTCGGAATTACTGGAATAAATATGAATAATTATATCTCGTCAATTTTTTCTTATTTATTCCAGATCCTCTTTGTAATCGATTACGGATTGTAGCCTATGGGCTGGATACGAAAAATTGAATGTCGCCATTTTGGCGATACACTTTCACTTTTAATTAGAGATAAGAGATAAGAAACGAAATAACAGTGATAAGAAAATAAGATAAATGATAAGAGGATAGTGATAATAGGTACACGGTAAGAGATAGGTGATAAGAAATAACACATCCATGATTCAATGTTTTTCCGTGGAACGGATAAAATAACTAGGTTATTTTTTTATCCATCTCTGACAACTGTCGCGATCGACAAACATCATGGCGAAAAAAACGATAAGTTTAACTGTAAGGTCCACAAAAACCTATGGTAATTTCTAGGCAACGTTTGAAAAACTTTTACAGCACAATATTTTCAGTCGTGAAAACAACTTCTCAATAGGTACGTCCGTATACGAGTATTTAACATTTCAGGGACAAGTATTTATTCTTTAATTAAAAACTTTCTCCGTAAAGTGGTCGTACTGCGATTAAAGACCGAAATTAATTAAAAAAACACAGAACGGCCTAACCTAAATGTTAAGTATCGGCAAACATTATTGTAGCACAGCCCTCAGGTGTCTTTTAAGTCCAAATTAAAAGGATTATTCTCATATTTTTTTCTAGCTAATTTCATTTATTGTTTAATTGTTCGGTTGGTCGTTTTTACTGAAAATATTATTACAAATTCGACTGTTTGCCTAAAGAATAAAAAAAAACGACGTTCCGGTAAATTTCTGTGAAAACCCTGTTTGAGTCAACTTGCCGTGCAGTATAGACGGTGCATGACGGAAAATGAAACGTTTGCTCTACTACTTTAAAAAGATACTTACTTTCGTCGAAGGCTTGTGGCTTTTCTTCTGTCTCGTACCAGTAACGATCACCACGTTTGATCCGGACAAATTGATCAGCCAACAGACACGTTAAAGTCGGGCCCAGCAAACCGTTTGGTAAAGGTTTTTCAGAGATCATTCCTGTGTACGCGTCCACGTCGTTGACAGACCTGAAATTACATATTGGGTCGTCCATTGTAAAAGTGGTGTAACTCAACATTTTTAAAATATACATATTTTTGCTTAACGGAGTCACATTAAATCAAATTTTTCATTGTATAAAATAGAAGCAACTCCAATAAATGAAAAAAATAAAAAATAAAAATATAACACACTGAATGAATACTTGTATTTGTTTTTCTACACAATGACTAATGAGATAATTCACTTGTACAATTAACGACACATATTATAGTATTCGGATCGTTTAGAAAATGTATACCAAACATTCCTAATTCCTATTGTAAGCTGTAGGTAGATACTAGCATTCAAATGATATATTAATCGTATAATACTTATTGTTAGCACAAAAATAGTGATGTATTTATTAGGGTTTCATTTGTTTGTAAATCAAGTTTTCATTCGAACAGGAGTTTAAACTTATATATATATATATACATATACTATAATGAACTAGATTGTTAATAGAGATAATTGGAGTTACAATTTTCCGCCTTCTTTGTGGGAATTAGAACCTTATCACGTGTTTATATCTGTTATCACTGTTTATAACAATTGCATATTAAGTTGATAACACAGAATCATATATATTATATATATATAGTATTCTTACTTGTACAGTTGTTTTATTGACAGTAACGTTGTCTGTTCGACGACATCGTTTAAATTGTCGAAATTCTCAGGCCGTGGAAACCCGCAGAATTTTCTCCAATGCGGGTAGGCCGGTAAACCGTGGTCTCGTCCTCTCTGTATGTTTAACGACACCAAGTCCAGACTGCATTGACCTTTGTTGCGCGTTTTGTCGTTGCTCTCGAACAAGTGTCGGGTTACCTATTTCAGAAAGCCCACAATGTGCCATTGTGTAAATTATTTGCAAAAAAAAACACAAAGATTAAATAGGAAATATCAATTAAAAAAAAATACTATTACGACAACAAACTGTTGATAATGTTTCGAGCAGTAAATATTTTATAGTACTTCAATAGTTAAGTTACGAGTCGACGGTGGTTTTGTTTGAAGTTTTCCGTCCATTACATTTGCAAATTATAACAACAAAAATACTGTGGATAATTTGTGCGAAACTTATTCAGTACTTTATGTCCGTTTTTTCACAATAATTCCGTTAAAAATTATTTTTATATAGCTATACATTCTTCGTTATGATTCTATAACGTTGTCTTTAATATCAGGGACGGACCTAGGAATCGAGGAAATGAAAAACACTAACAGAACTGCATAAATTGATTATATTGAAAGATGCACACAAAACTGATTATCTACCTAATGTTATCGATTTTGTTGAATAATAGTAATTTTAAGCTGAAAAATATGTAATTTTTTGAAGGGGTTTCACCTTGGATAGTGACTTAATTTATATGTATAATTTTGCTCTTTCCGTTCTCATTGGTGTACTACAAGAATACAAAATATGTAATAAATTAATATACAGAAAATGATTTAGTAATATTTCAGTATTTTTTAATTATAAAGCATAATATTTCATTTATCATAATATGTAGTAATTTCGGTATGGAAAATTCCCAATGATTGGATACGACAACGCCAAAACCGACTTGATGAAATCTTGGTCGACGTTACGCATACATTTTTTGACTATGTTGACGAAAATCACAGCCGACCCGTGGTTTTTCTTTAAAACGGTCGGAAATTGTTTCAATATGATTGCTTCGTTCAGGATTCGTCGAATGTCTTCATGAGCTATCTGCCAGACAGATTTGCAGCCCGGAAAATTCAAAGATATTTTCTCCAAATTTAATCGGACACGTTCGACAGCTGCATTGTAAGTCGCCGGCTGGGGACTTTGGACTCGCAAGAAAATCAAAGTCTCCGCAAAGGTCCGGTCGTCTTGCAATCCGGTTATGTCGACAAAAGAGGTGATTGTATCGTGCATTGCAGCGTTCACTTCCGGTGCGTTTCCGTTGTCGTCGACTGCAAGCAACAAGTGAATAGATACCATTCGCAATACCACCATTTTCATCAGAGTCAAGACCACCGACTGATACTGTCTTATGCCTTCCAACGCGGTGTATAGGTTCGTAGGATCCGTGGCCTTGTTGTACGCATTTGAAAACTCCTCGGTCACGTCGTCCCAAGTTTCACCGTATCTGCCAAATGCATTCATGACATTATCAAAATCATAAACCACCTCGCATAGGTTTTTATAACCCAAGAGCAAGTTATCGGCATCGATCAGATTGTAGGATTGGTTTGTTTCGGTGATACGCATCACCCTCGGACGACTTGTGCGCAAGTGTTCTTCAATCTTGTCGGGAAAATGTCGAAGCATCTCAGGACTACTATTATCGCTCAAGGAGAATTCGTTGTCACCCGGACAGTCCTGCATGGACTCCGTCAGTTGTGCGATGATCATTTCTTCCACACATTTCGTTTGTCCGTCGTTAAATTGTCTATTAATGAAGCTAAAATGTTCAACGTACCAATAGAGCAGCCACACCGGATACAGGATCCGGCGGTCGTAGTCAGCGTTCATGTTGTAGAGTATCACCAAAGCATATTTTGGAATTCCTTCGAAACTTTTGAACTTAAGCGATTCGGAGGCATTTAGCGCCGTTACTCGCATGATCGACAGCAATATCGTTTGAATTCCGCACCGTGTGTTTAACTGTATCTGTTTCTCTGTGCTGGCTAGATCTTGGCTGGTGCTTGGATCGGGATTGTCGTATCCCAGTTTCAAGTAAACCAAAAAATTATCGTAATCTTCCCGAAGCGATTGTCTTTTGCAAACCGGTTCGAACGCCGCGTATACCACCGAGTTCAGAGTATAAACGCAAAACAGCAATGTCGTCGACAACAATAAACCGCGGCGGTGATCCATCTGAATAGCTTATAATTTTAATATTTCAAGTACTACCAAAGTGGATTCCGTCGTACAACTGAGCAGTACTCGAAGAACACAATAGATCCGAACACCATCACGATACGTATCATATTTTTCACAAAAACATTAAAAACAAATAGTGTTCACACGATTCGGCAGCATATTTGTAAAGTTGTTGTTGTGAAGGTTAAATATATTATTACCAAAACGGATAACAACTATAGTCTTCTACGCACATAGTCTTAGGACGGGAGGGGGGCTGGAGGGCTTTGGCACCACACAATTTTGAATACTTCCAATATATTTGAAATTTTAGGTAGCTATTTACTACTGTCAAAGTGTAATTTTTTCGTTTATGTGTTAGCCCCATTCTAGATCTACCCTCGGTCTAATTTGCACACTTAAAGCTCTTCAAGTACATCTAAAAACAAAAAAGAAATATTTTCTACCTCTTAGTCCTCATATCGTTCTCAATCGCATCTAACCACTACTATATTGGTCTTTCTCTTGGCGTCTACGTTTATTGCATAACCGTCAGAGATGTATTTAGGAATTTTGCGCCCCAGGTAAGAAAAAAAAACACCCCCTCCCAACCTAAATTTCTTCATCAATAGGTGTATTTGTAAAAAAAACACATGATAGTGAAACCAATGCATTCTTCGCTACACTCATAATCTGAAAGGTATACTTGGTATACATAAAAAAAAACTTTTTTAAAACATGCTTTTCTAAAAAAAAAAAAATAGCAAAAAGTGAACTATAAAGTAAAAAATAATTTTATTACATGAACAATTTACCAGTCAATTGTAGCATATTTTATTTAAAATGTCAATTACTTTGAAAACATTCGAAAATTAATTTTTGACTAAAAAGAAAAGCGTAAGCCCTATTCAAGAAAGTCCAAATTCATTGAGTTAATATTTTTTAAACATATTAGATATTTATACCAATTAGAGTTGTGAATTATGACCTTACGCCGTTCTTATTGGAAAAATTACTATACAAATGTATCGATATATTTGATATGGGTCAAGTTGGCACCGGCACATAATTCTAAGACTACACAAGTCATATTGAACATTTGCTAGATTTTGCTAGTTCATTGTTTACAGTTCCTAGACCTTCTAAATTGTGTACATAAATTATTTTACATCTGTTGAAATTAAAAAAATGATTTTCAACGTATATTTTATTCCTTTGGTGCCTATAACTGGTATAATTTGAATTTGTTATCGATAAAATAAGAAAAAGACAAAAGAATACTTTCTATTAGTGTAAGCGAGGCCCTAAGACTCGAGAGTAACGCACAATTTTTTTTTTAACAAAGCTTATAGTTGCGGTCTTAAAACAACTGGGCGTTGTGTTTTGTTAACTTTCACGTTCTACAGTTTATACCCACATATTAACCAATATACCAAACTTCATTAGGCCATTATTATTTCAAATTGATTATTAGATATTGGAATAGCCAATCGTTTAATAGTTCAATATAGTTGTTGTATTGTTTATACTTAACTGTTTAAACTTAAGAAATTAGTAGGTCTATGGTTTCATAACACAATATCCAAGTGAGAATCCTCAATTCCAGACATTCAACAATAATCAATTTATCAAATTGCCAAAATTGTCTGATTGCTATTTACTGACTGATAAAAACGAGTGTTGAGCACCAAATAAGAGAAATAAAAAGAAAAAGGGAGGTGGTAAATAAATGATAGTGAGATGTACGCATGAACTGACTTGATTTGACAGAACAATGAAAGACTATATAAATCATTATTGTTAAATTAAATATAGAGTTGGTAGGAATTTTTGTTCTTATTCTTTTAAATTTAACTAGATTTAATTAAATTGAATCTAAGTTTGGATTGTAAGTAGTAAAATTATATTTCAAAAACATTTGTACGATGAATTTGCTATCATGCATAGGTAAAAATCTGGTAAAAAATTGTTGTGTGACCTATTTTTTTACTGTAGTTATATACTTATATACCGACATCGCGGTAATACACTTGTTGTATATTTACACCGTAAAACATATGTTATTTTTGCATCAGATTCAATTTTTTAATAGTTGCTTAAGTGTTTTCACAAAAAATGAAGAACACAAATTTTAAAATGGATTAGTCAAGCAGATTAGTCATGCATGCTTTTTCGCACAAAAAAAAATATATTTTCTGAAAAATTGACTGTATCTTTTTATATCAAAATACTATGGTACTAAGTGTAGGTTACTTTGGTAAACAAATAATATTCAATTTGAACAAATTTTCTCGACAACAAAAAATGTCGATGTAAAAGGTTAATCTTCGTTAGAAGGATATCTTTCTGAAAAAACTTGTCAAAAATAGCATTAAAATAAACTGAACATGTTGTCAGAACTATCTATTTTGCCTTACTTAACCTCCTCCAGATGCCAATATAAAATGTATTATCTTACAATTTTCGGATTAACTACTTAATGTCAATAAGACAATTTTGTGATGGTGCCCTACCGTATGTCTGAAATTGAGAATTTTCACCTGAGTTAGTGAATAAATAAAATAAAATAAATATATAATTTGTCATTGTCGCTATATTTGTACAATGATTGCGGTCTATATGAAAGATCTAATTTTCCTGCATTAAGAATGTTCTAATGGCATCTATCTTATAATCCACATTCCATTTTCGTCCTTAGTATGATTTCCTTTCGTTGAAATATTCAAAATAAAACATTTTTTTTTATCACCAACGTTATCAACATACAAAGTTGATAGTAGCTAGTATTACCTACAATCTACGATTGAAAAAAAGGAGTGAGGTTATTTATACTGTCAAAAAAAAAAAAAAAGAACACTACATTGGGTTCGGGGCATAGCAGGGACGGAGCATAGTGAGGACTGGGAGGTCACAGGTTTACAGGAATTTTTAAATTTGAAAGTGGTAAAATCACTTTCAAAAAAACACTTTTATGCAAATCAGTAGTTAGTATTTTCAAGACAGTACAGACTAAACCAGGCTCAGTGTAAGCCCGCAAAGTTAGAAAGTATTAAATTGAGGTGCTGTATTTACAAATAAGTAACAAAGCGTTTATTTGAAAGTGATTTTATCCAAGAGGACTATTACAGTAGAGTATAGGCATAATGGAATCAAAGCAACGAGGGAACGGAGAGGTGAAAATGTGGTAAAAAATAAACTCATTACCAAAATGTAATACATCAATTGTGAATTGTGAGGTCGGTTGAAAAAAAAAACAAATAAAACGCTACGGTAAATCAAATATAGTTTTCCAACTTTTGAAGTTTTCCGTCCATTAATATCAGGGACGGACCTAGGAATCGAGGAAACGAAAAACACTAACAGCACTGCATAAATTGATTATATTGAAAGACGCATACAAAACTGATTATCTACCTAATGTTATCGATTTTGTTGATTGGTTGTAATTTTTTTGAGTGTTTTTCTCGATTTTGAAGAGGAAGAGGTAAATTTTTGTTTGCCAAACTAAGTTATTTTTATATAGGATTACTGATGTATAGAGTTGCTATACGAAGAAATCGGTTCAGCGGTTTAAACAAATAAAAAAATTAGTAGATACGCCAAAAGTGACTTGCATAATAGTCATATTTTCTCATTAACTCAGATACAAATAACTATTAAAATATTATGAGACTAGAAAAACTTCATACGCCTTGGTGTATTTTAAACGGCACCTAAATCAAATTATGTCGAATATTTACCCATTTTCGTATGCAGTTGTTTTAGGTGGCCAACTGTTACGATTCATTTGTTTACTGACGAAAAAGCTTATTATTTTTAACACTTAAATTGCTAGAAAAGTCGACTAGATCTCGCAAATAAACAGTTACTAAAGTTTGGCTTATTCTCTACTCGACTGTCGTTAGCAGCTGTTCAAACCGAAGCACTTAAGAGCACATATTATGTTTTTACAAAAAAAACAAAACAAATATTATTCACTATTCCACGACACAAATTATGCAGTTATTTTAGACGTATTTGGCGACTGTGTAAATCATATTCAGTGAAATATTCGCACCTTAAGTTAAAAAAATATCTTCTAGCCTCCACGGTAATTTTTTGAATAAAAAACCAGCCTAGACCCCTAGGCCCCTCCTTCAAGTTTAGGGACCTTGAGGACACCTACCTATATGTACACCGACTATTTAAAAAATACCAGCGTTATGTTATGTGATGCAAGCTCATAGTATGTGTGTACAGCTATATATATTTTTTTCACTAACAGTGTCATTTGGCGTAATGGCTTACCTCGGGTGTAAAAAATGCATCGGATTTCCCAGCACTGGTGTTCATCGCCCCTCGGATGACGCTGTCAACGCCACCGCACGTGTATAGCTTATACGGATTGAACAGCATTTTTCTCATTTCCACATATTCGGGGTTGCTGTCGTCGTCCCGCAGGAATTTTGTCATGCTCTGCGCAATCATTTAGTATAACACAATATATTATTTCAGTTGTATGGAAATTTCGCATTCGTATACATTAAGAATAATAATAATATAACGTCAGAACGTACCCAGAAAGCAGCGTTACAATAAAGAAAAGTGGCATTTTATCTTAAGTTCACAAAATAAGCGCGTTCATGATTAAAAATCTCTATGAGACATACACATACACATGCACTGCTTTTTCCCCGAAACTCTTCAATAACCGACATGATTTTTTTTCCTCGACGCATAGTGCTCGCCGTGAATAATATTTTATACTTGCATAATACACGACAGTTTAAAGAAATTACATTTTTGAAGAAATAAAATTACTTATTTCCTTCTTTATTCCAAGTATAATTGCGATATATAATAAAATGAAAAACGATTTTCAACAGTCGTCGAACACATTATGTTGTATAGACGACCGTCTTGTCAAAAAATAAATTACAATTCTATTGGAGAACGAGACATGCTGTAAAGGGTGTTTTTAATCACCCGACGAAGACTGGGATAGAAGGGCTTGTTTATCACACTCTCAGAATTGCTCCAAAGCTTAAATGAATATGACAAGGTGATAGTCGTTGACAATTTCACACTAATTTAAAGCGGTCGAATTCATTGAGGGAGTTTATTGAGGAGAAGAACAATAATGGCCCGGTTAAATGCGAGGTAAGAATTTTAGACGAATTACAAGTTATATAATTTGTAGATGGATAATATAATAAAATACATCTATCTCTACCACGATTAAGACAGATATTTTTAGTAAGTTTAAAATTCATCGGTTGGAAAGTATGGAAATATATCGTTTTAGTGTATTCGAAAATGTTGTAGATTTTAGTTAACAAATAAACATTTTAATTCGTAGACTTCTATAATGTTACTTATAATTAGTGCACTTAAATCTTTAATTTCTATAGTTTATATATATTTGTATAAATATTTTAACATATTGAGAGCGTTGTGTAACAAAAACTCTACTTTAATTTGAATTAATTTTTTATAATTTTAACGGTAAACAATTTGTTTTTTCAATGTAATGGAATACCAGGAAACCGGGTAAGCAAATCTTCACTTTTCGTTTGAACGTTTTTAATGAAAGCATATTTTCAAACAAGCATTCTGAGCCAAAATAGCTTTTTATTTTTTGTTTGGTAATTATTATGATTTTTAACAATTTCTAGGCGGTGGTTTGCCACATGTACCAGAAGACAATATTTTCTTTTTCGGTTTTCGCTAAATCTTATATCAATTGGATGTTTAAATTTTTAGTGTAATAAATTGCGCTTTACCGGTATGAGCGTGTGAGCAAACCGAAATGCTGCTGTGGCAAAATTGTTGCTTATACTCGGGTCCACTGATGAATTGTAGCCCTTCCAATAGCCGCTTTCTTGAGAGTAAAGTTGTAGACGTTTCATGAGATCGTCACCTAAAATGTTTTTTTTTTCAAATTTTAATTTTACATTATTATGTTAGGCCAAGGTTTACAGGCATTATAACTGAAAATAAAATCACTTTCAAAACAAACGCTTCGATGCGAATCTGTAATGGTAGAATTACAAATACAATTGTATAATGTGCTTAAAAATGAATAATTTAGTATTAGGGTGGATACGATCAGGGTTGATGGTCTGTCCATAGTAATTGATTGCCATAGTTAGCCATTTTTAGTAATTAACAATACAATGAAATTATTTTCCTGTACACCTGTTGACTGTTGATTTACTCACATATTACAGTAACCTAAAAACTGTACTACGGGTAAAGTGTAGCTTTCCTTTTTGTTCTTTGGGGGTTTCCTTAATAAAAAAAAAAGGTTGAGAAAATTGTATATGTCATAGCCTCATTCCAGATAGCTACCTTTGGTCTAGTTTACTGACCTAAGACTTCACCTTAAAAAAACGAAATATAGATAAAAGTTCCACCCATTCAGCTAATGGAAAGGGTTTGTATACGTATTTTGGTTTATTAACGTTTATCATATACATTTGAAACTTATTTGACTATTTTGAAAACATTTATAGATTAGTCATTTTTAATTGAAAAATATGTACATTTTTTTGGGTGTTTTTTTTACGATATTTAAAGGGAAGTGGTGAACTTTTTAAATTTTCGGCCCAGTAGAGTACGATTTTTGGTCTATAGCTATACGAAGAAGTCGGGTCAACGGTTTAGAAGCAACACACTGTTGAAAAACAAGATTGTGGTTCATAAAAACGTTATAAAAATGTCTTTTCAGCTGAGCGTCAAAGCTAAAAAAATGATTCAACGAAGCACGCGTGGAACATTAATTACCCAAAATTATCGGCAGAAATTCGTTGTAAGTGATGTGCTGAATTTGGGCGACCAAGACGTGTCTGGTTTCTTGAAAAACTCGTTCGTCCGACCAATGCGGGTTCATGGACGACAATTTGCCGGCAATCAAGTTGTGCTGTCGTACCATAATCAAATGCAACGTCGTCAAGTGCATATTTTCGTTTGCTCTGGCGTCTCCTGTGAATACAAAAAAAAAAAAAATCCAATATCAAATTGCAAGTGGGTGTTTACCTAAGTAGGTAAACAACTGTATGTGTGTGTATCTTTTTTTTTTTTTGAGGGAAAATATTATGAAAACATAATGCAATGCACGGCGTACGCTTGAAAACAATTTAAGTTAAAAAAGTTTTCATTTTTTTGTGTTACGTTTTCTAAACCCTCTGGTCGAGCACGACGACCGGCATACTAATCAATTTACAATAGTTCCGTCAAGTCAGATTAGCGTTATGGAAATAAGTACCTTATTTCCAGTATAATACTGTTTGCGGTTAAAAACAAAAAAAAGTTTATTTTAAGGCGTATTATAATATACACGTACATAATGTATGAATAATTTTATGGAATACACAATGATGTTTATTTTTAGAAGCTGTCGCGGTTGGGATATTATAAACTTTTTCATTCTTTTGATTAGTATTAGGTACATTTTTGAATATATTATTATTTTCCGTTGGACAATATTCAATTTGTGAATAAACGTGCGTTTACCTGACAAAAAGCAGTATCGCCCTTTTTGCATTTCGACTTGCTCGTTACATCCGTCTTTTGGATCTTTGTTGGGTGGTAACAAACTCGCGCCAAATTCGGATACAAACACCTTCATCCGGCCGCCTTCCCACGACCTGAGATCGTTTTGTAAATTCTGACTATTGCCGTACACTGCCGAACCGTCTAGAAACGAACTGGCTTGGTTGAGTTGCTCCCTTGGCCCTGTACAGAAAAACCGGGTATAGAACGCTGTTCGATGATGTCTATATAATATGATGTATATTATAATAACATCCGGTGTGGCTATGGTTGTTCTTGGTAGTGACTAAAGTCAGTCTGCCCAGTTGGAAATAAAATACCGTTCAATACAAGGTGATCATATTTATATCGCGGCCCACTCAATTTCTCAATGGGTTTAATTTATTAATATTTGGATTTTTTTTCATAGTGTTTTCATATAATATGATCTCAATTTTCCACAAATTTGTATGTTCCTACCCTCCTCCCAAACTGTTAATTTTTGAAACTTAAACGGTAACGCGTACATTTTGTTAACTTTTTACATTGAGAATAATTTACTAAAAATGTTGACTAGTCCATTACCAGTTTTGGATAACTTATTTCGGAGTTATTGAAGTTTCAAGTTCAGGGCAGGAGAAAAGGAGGAGTGTAGTGTTATTTTTAATTGCGCGCACTTCTCATCCTGACTTTTAAACACTTATAACTTTAAAAATGGTTGTTCAAAACTGGTTGTCAACCGGTCAACATTTTTAGTAAGATATTCTTTATTTAAAAAGAACGCTACCGTTTAGGCTAAGTTGATATAAAAAAATAATTGGTTTTAGAGAGGGTAAAAACAAAAAAAAATATTATGAAAAAATGAGATTACACTGTATAAAAACACTATGAAAAAAAAAATTAAATTTCTTATTAAACCCTATGACATATTGAGCGGTTAACGATAAAAAAAAAAGATAATAAAAAAGGCCGGGTCGTGGGACGAAAAGTTTAAGGAAAACTTGAACGTCGGCCAAACGCTTACGGGGCATAAAGACGTTCATGCCGGGGAAAAAATTATCCAAGACAACGGACAAACGCCGCAGATGTAAGCTATAGAATTAATACTTAAAGGTGTGGTGGAGGTGTCAGATAACAAAAAAAAAACTCTCTTTGAGAGGGTCATCGGGCGCGACTGAGACAATATTTCAAAAACACGTTTTTTTAATTAAAAGAAAAAAAACCGTAGCCAAATCGTTTTAATTAATTTCTTATTTGCTTTAAAATTAAAACGTTTATTAATTGTTGTGGTCTTGATTACCGAAACTACACTTTGACGCCGGTGCGGATCTCACAAACTCCATGCAATCGCCGCATTTGCTATCTCCTTCCGACATAATAACTGGGAAGCACTCAGGATGTGTAGTGTTTTTCAAACCACAACAGGATATTGCGCTTCCATTATGACCTAAGCACAAAATGTATTCTTACGAAACTGCTCTTAAAGGGTTTGTCGTAAGCGGTAGTTGAACCTTGGCTGGTATAATATATATATATATATATATATACATTATATACATTATATGTGTATAATTCCTGTATCTTACGACACTTTAAGTGTTCAGGTTAAATCCTGCAGAATACTTATAATAGAGTGCACAAGGTTATCTTACACAACGATATCATATTCCAAGGAAAATATATTATTATAATAATATTATGCTTGTATAAAATTATTATAATTTTTTTTTTTTGATTAATTAATTAAGCATAAAATACATTTACAGCAGTCAATGAAACAACGACAAGTCGTCCAGAATCAGAACTGTTACCTATGAATAAATTCATATTAGCCATATGCAGAGTTATGTAAGTACTTACTCGAATAATTATTTCACAATTTATTCGAATAATTAAAAAAAAAAATAAAGATAAATAACAATAAAATGTTTTCCCTTCATATTTGTTTTAAAAAATAATTAATTAAAAATCTCTTAAAAACTGTTTAAATAATATGTTAGAAAATTATTCGAATAAAATATTATTTAAATAACTTACTCGAATAATGTAGGTATTATCTAGATGATTATTTAGATAACTTTTTATTTGAATGATGCACAACTCTGTATTGTAAACCCTGTAAAATAATAATCATTACTTAACCTTTACTCAAAGCCGTGGCTGTAATGTCGTGATCCATGAATTGTCCCCAAACAGCCAACATCACAGTAAAATCTTGATCTTCCTCGTAAGACGGACGGTGGACTCGGTCGGCTACTAGTTTCGATGACGGCAAATCCAAACCGTCCGACGATTTTCTTGGCTTCCAAACACCTGGAAAGTCATAATGAACAGCTGTTTATCGGACATGTACGAATCGATTTATTCAATTCAGGCGGAAAGCTGACCAAAAGTAAACTTCACCCTCGTTAAAAATAAAAGATCACAAACCTATGACCACAGGTTAAATAAAACCATATAGTGCACTCTAAAAAAAATGGAAAAAATGTAAACAAACTTGAATAATCTCAGGTCAGTGTGACCAAAAATAAATAAATAAAAACTTTTATGAAAACATGTTTTTCTAAAAAATGTGTTAAAAAAGTGAACTAAATAGTAAAAAAAAGTTTTACTACAAGAACAATAATTTATTTACCAATCAACTGTAGTGCATTTTTTTTTTAAATGCCAATTACTTTTAAAACAACCGAAAATTAACTACAATTTTAAATAAGGTTAAACGTCTTTAATTTTTGACTAGAAAGCGTGGGCCCTATTCAACAAAGTCCAAAGTTAAGTATATATTATGAAATGTATGTGACACACATTAAAATTGAACCGAATTTAAATTACAAAAAAACATTAACTGAAATTTTAACTAATCAATTTATTAGGTAGGGACTTAGTTGAATAGGGCCCACGCTTTTTTTTTTAGTAAAAAATTAAATATGTTCATCATTATTTAAAACCGTAGTTAATTTGCGGTTGTTTTCAAAGTAATTGATATTAAAAAAAAAAAAAAAAAAATGTGCTACAATTGATTGGTAAATTATTGTTCTTGTGGTAAAATTATAAATTTTACTTTTTAGTTCAATTTTTTACTATTTTTGAGAAAAGCATGTTTTTAAAAACCTGATCCCCACACTATGCTCAATTTCTTTTGTGCTGGGTTTTTATATTGTGTTAAAACGATTTACCGTCGGAATAATCGGCCGGTATGGCTCGGCGAAACGTCGTCAAAGACGAGCCTTTCAGAGGTTCTAAGATATTGTTACAAGTGCCGTTTACTGTTCTGTACCGACTTTGTGCAGGGCAGACGGTCGGTGCCAGGTTGATGCATTCGGGGTTAGTGAAAACTGTAACGTTAACCGTCAAAATCACGGCGTCTTTTTCTTTTGAAATATTCAAAGCTTCTCTAAAAATATAAAAAACTGCGTTGAATTGATTAATAAGAATCGAAACGGAGTAGGTACCGTCTTCAATGTTTTTTAAAAAAAATAATACTCCATAACATGCCAATCTCGTCTTTGGGAAATTTTCGGTAAACGAGCGCTTAAAAGTTGTACTTTTTTCCATTAGGTTGTTTTTAACTTTAAGCTTTGATGCGGAGCTGAGGAGCTATTGATTTTACAATCATGTGTTTTCACGTTTGTGCGAAGTGAATGTTATTTTTTTTTTCATCTATTCCGAAAATCTTTAATCTCTCCAACTTTCTATTAGTTGTTCATCGGTTCACCTTCATCTAATATATAAATTGATTAGCTTTCATTTTTCTGTTATTGGCACTACTCACAAATTTGCTCTTGTGTACTCTTCTTTCATCTTATACATTTCAACATTTTTCTTTTATCTCGTTTCTCCAATACCCAAAACTCACTTTAATACACTAATGCCGTTGCCTCACAACAGTTTTAGTACAATATTTCCCTTTTATTCCAAATTATATTTTTCTGTCACATAACACTTTTGTTTCCTCTTTTCATCTCGACTAATCACGCTTTACTGCATCTTCTTTCAGACGAATCCATTCTCTTACAAAACGGATCAAATGTCTCATCTCTACACCATTGTTATCCAAGCATAACGGGGGTTTTTTTTACCTACTAATAAATCCTCCAGACCTGGCAATTAAAAGGTTTCCATTTTTATATTATCATATTGCCTCTACATATAATATTATTATGTATGCTTTTGATATATTATCAAACTACTATTGTAGTATTCACAGTTTTGTATTTTTAATTATTGGGAACATTTTTTTTATTATATTGGGATATTCCAAATAGAACAAAATATAACAATGTTGTCCAGTTAAACCGTTTTTAATTAAATATATACGTTGCATTTAAGTTTTATAAGTTGATAGAGCTCTAGCAAATACTAAAAAAAGATAAAAATTTGAATATTGCCTAATATTATACTATAACATAAACAAAAATGTTTCCAAAAAGAAACACTACACAATTGCCATTATTTTAAAAGTAAACTAGTGTAGGACGTTAATAGAATCAACCGGTATGACCGTTCGGCGTTGTGGATTAAAATTTTATACTGACTGAACGATTTTCACCGAACAATTGTAATTTAAGTGTTTTTTTTCATAATATCCTTAAACGATTTTTTTTTCAAATTTTTAAGTAGTTAAAAATTTAAAAACAGATTGAAAACTTTATGAATTTGTACTTTTTGTACTGATTAAAGGTAAAAATTTCAAAATTTTGTCTTATTCCGACACATCTAACTATACTCTTTTCATTCATTGCTATTTTTTTTGGACAATTTTTTTTTAACTATGTATATGAAGTAAATTGAAAGTTTGGTATTTTACTCTGAAAAGTGCCATATTTAAGAGCCTATAACTTTTCAGGGCTTGGACTAAACATTCTGAAATTCGAACAGCACTTACTTAAATGTATAAAGAACATGTGGTAAAATTAAACGTTGTATTAAATGTAGAAACGGGTATTATATCAAGCTGGTTAGTAGGACAATACCGTGTACGGACCTCAATTTTTCGGTGGCAACGTTTTCAACGTAGCCGTCGCGCGCGATTCGCATCGATTCCGGTCCGGACTTCATCATTTGCTGGTGACGGTAAGACGGAGTGCCGTCGTCGATTGCCGGCAAGTTTTTTTCCAAATCCTCTTTGGCTTGCAAACTTTTGCGACCTCGTTCCACCGCCAACGTTAAGTCGTCGCCGGTCGCGTTTATAACTGCCTTTTGAATAATTGATGTAGAATTTTCTGCAACAAAATCCGTTAACACAGTAAGCCGACGTTTACCGGGATTTTTTGTCTTAACTTCCCAAAGGCTAAGCCTCGCTTACCCGGCAACGGCCAACCGAGCTGCAACAGCACTTGGTCGGGTCGTACCGGTTCGTCTGAACGGTCTACATAATGTGAAATGCCCACGATGCAGGCCATGACCGCCAGAGATCTGTGGAACAACAGACACGTTGAAAAGCTAAAGTTTATGATAACACAATTAGTAGTTAAAAGTGACCAGGACCCGGACTAGAGTTCACCGATCGCAGCATCCTATATAATGGTTTATGATTATACCCGTAGGAAGTATACGGTGGAGGGGAAGTCGGAATAGGGAATGGATTCTAATAGAGTGGGACGGAACACGGAAAGAGATAGAACTTTTGAATATATATTGTTTTAGAGTTACTATAGTTGGTAGTGATATTTATATCCAGCCACCCTTAATTGTAAACTTAAATGACTTAGCTGGCAGACAAGTCAATCCGTTCAATTAAAATAAATGTATGTACCATTTAAGTTTCAATCGTTGATAAAGCTCTATCATATACTAAAAAAAAGGTAACAATTAGATATTATCTATTTTTGTACTATAACACAATTAAAATGTTTTCAAAAAGAAACACTACAAAAGTACAATTGTGTTAGCAGTAAACTAGTGTAGGGCGTTAAAAAAATCACTTAGTATACAGAAGAACTATTTTTTAATTCTGAATTATGTACCTACTTGTTAGGTAGTCGATAATTTCTATCCGTATATTTTTCGATAGCGACCTAGCTTTCAACTGTTATTAGTTTACCTTCCATAAAGATTTTCTATTCTCTAATGAGTTCTTTCAAATCAAAATTATGTTTTAATTGATAAAAAGGGTCAAGAGAACACGAATATCGAACATTGTAAAGCGTGCAACCGTTGTTTTACATTTCCGGTGTTTTATATTTCCAGTGTTTTGCATTTCCGGTGTTATACATTTTGGATGTGTTGTTTCACTTTGTTATTTTGTAGCCCCGACAAGGACCTTTAAACGTGTACCGACAAATTTATGAGTGTAAAACACGGCCACGAGGGTCGACCATAGAAGGTTACACAACGTCAACACAAGTACTGTTGTTAAACACATTGTCGATATTTAACATGTATATTAAACAGTGCGAAGGTTAACAAAACATGTGTATTGTTAAAATGTCGAACAAACGACTTGAAATAACCAGAGACGATAAGAGCGATTTAGATAATTTAGATGGATGACAAACATACATAGTAAAATACAATATGGTGTTAAAGTTATGAAGCCACGTGTTCTTTTCTTTTTTTAATTTATATCTTGTCATTTCTCAGACAGTAATCACTAGACTAGTTATTTATTGAATTTTCAGTCGTACGAAGCTTTTTCTCTAAGTGTTTGTCTAGACGAACCGAACAGGTGATTAAAGGTTCGACGTTGTATTAACAAAATTTAAAATTGCCAAAACTTTGTTTTACCTACTACTAAACCCTACTTGCCCGCTGTATATTATTTATAATTAAATTTCTTTAGAACTTTTGCAAGACAAGTTTAAGTAGCATTTTCCACCTAACCGTGGACGTTTACACAAGTAAAGCAAGTACAAACTACTCTCTCTCACTAAATAAACGTGTATACCGTCTTAGTGAACTAGGTTATTGTTTTATTCATAATACGAGGGGTGAACTTATTAAATTTTAACCCAATAAAGTACGATTTCTGACCTACAGACTTGCTAATTGAAGAAACCGGTTTTGAAGTTTAGGAGATACATAACAAAAAGTAATAAAACACATAATTGTAAAAACAATACCTTCTCGGATCCGCAGCAAAGCTAATAGGTGTATAGAAACTGTATTGGACAATTAATGTATATTTTAAAGTTTAATATTTTTTTTTACATCAATATACTGTCAGTGTTTATTAAATACATTTTGCTATAATTATAAATGTTTTTTTTAATTTTATTTCACTCGAAACATACCGAAAGACATTATGTTAATTGGTTACTGAGTGGTTTTTTTTTGTTTACTAAGTGAAAATACACAATACAAAGTTCTATAACTTATTCTATGCAGTCGAATAACGAAGGTCGACGGTGATAACACTACAGACGCTTGATAACATTTCTCCGACCACACTGTAGAACAGAATGATTATTTTTTTTCATTTGTTGGTCACACTGACCTGAGATTATTCAAGTTTTTTTATAGTGCACTAACTGGATATATTTAATCTGTTATCATATAACATTCCCTGTAACGAAGTAATCAAGATGGCGAGCGACAGTGTTGCCACTTTAAATAAACATAAATGCTTGTTTAAAATAAGTAAAACACACTGCAGAGTGTAATCCTTATCAGCTATACGGATTAATAGATAAATTCTCGAATTTTATATGATAACTGGTAGCAATATGTTTTGTATCACATAGTTGCTGTAGTGAGACGAATAAAAAATATCTACCAGAGAAGTTCTAGTCACACTGCAGCTGGCCTTTTCGCTTACTTCATAAAATTTTACTTATTGCGACCCCCTGGGATGTGAACCCAATGGTGAAACGCACCGTGTAAAAACAATACAGCTATTTCTTTTGCAAATTTCAGCTATTTTTACAGGCATATCATTATTCTCGTTGGTAGCTCGGACACCGCAGGCCGCCGGTATAGGTTTGCCAAAGGGTTTAAAGTTTAAACCCCTAATTTGTCATTATGCCCGGTGCCTCCCCACTCTCGAGATTATAGTAATTAAGCGACAACTAATAAATAACAAACCAGAGAACAAATTACAATCTCGTCTTTGCAAAGAATTACTCATAGCCGAGGGTAAAGGTGAAATCGGTGGACTGAAAAAAACACAACGTGGGGAATATCGTGCTTCCGCTTTAAAAAAAAATATGTGCCGGGTCGAATGCTCGATTGTTGTTCGCATTTTTATGTAGGTACAAAAATATATAAGTATAAAAAAAAATATATATGTATATATATCGAGAAATCCAATAAACAACAGACTGTGCGTTTTTTCCGCTACCCCAAATGCGTCGTATTAATATAATATATAAACTCGACCTTATATCGAACTAATAATTGGACGTTTAAATACCTGAAATCCTAAGTATAGTAGTAATAGTAAAAATGCAAAGAGCCGTCGAGACAGTTCAAAAAAATGCAATTTTTACAATTATGCAACAAAGTAAACCTCCAAAATTATATCCTTAAAAATAACCAGATTATCGAAAAGCGTTGAAGTCTTAGAATTTCCCGCAATAGGGTTGGGGTTTTTTATACATTGGAGTTTTCATCAAACTGTCTGTGCTTATGCGTATACTAGTTAGGACTAGAGTGACCTCTAGCAGAGGTTATCTTGTTTTGGGTATTAGTAAAGTGTTAAAAATCGAGTTACTGTTTTGGTTGAGTGTAATTTGCTTATATTTTTTATACGTTGGCTCCACTCGAGGTTCGTTAAGACTAATAGTTTGTAGGCGTTTTCAACATAGTATTACCTACCACATTAAGGCCAATTTGCTTTGTACAGTGTAACTGTGTTGAAAACATTACAGTAGATATGTCTTAAGTGTAAAAACGATAATTTATAGAGATTTAATAAAAAAAAAAAAAATACAATATACTTATTAACGTGAGAAGAGCTTTTGCAAAGTCAAATCAACAGTGATTGATAATAATTCTTTTATGGGTAGGTACATAGTCACCGTGCAATATTGTATTAATGAATATTTTTCAGATGTGCTTTTGAAAACCTATTATAATTGGATTTTTTTTGTGGGAAAAAAAAAATCACAATTTCGACTTCACTTTATATTGTTAACTGTCTGCGTAAAAGTTTTTCAGAATGCCACTGACATCTCTTTAATATCGTAAAACTCTTTCGATAAAGTACTTTAAAACTGTTTTTTTTTTTTTGGTGACTTTTGTACACTGGTATATATGTATTTTGTAATGTTTAACCTTTAATCGGGTATCTAGGGGTGCTCTAAACATCCCACTGGTGTAAAAAAGCATGTAATCACAAGTAAAAAACTTCAAAAACCCAGACATTTTTTTTCCAGGCTCCGTGGTTAACCAGTCAGGGAATTAGGGAGTTCAAAAAATGTATAATGTAATATCTGAAATAACTTAAATTATTTATTATAACAAAAACCCACCGCATACCTAGTTGTGTTAATTATTTTCATCACATACCTAATTGAAGAAATTCGCCCGTTATACACTGTACTATAATATAAAATGTTTTTTTTTTTGAAGGGTTCGACGAGCCATCGAGGTTAAAAAATATGTATAAAATTCACTTATCCACGTGTTTGGTTTTCATGGAACGGTTCAGTCGGTTTTTTGGAAAAGTTTTGTGTGTTAGTATTTAATTTACAAAATATAAGCCTGACGGCACAAAAGTACCATAGTTCGACATTCGTCGCTACACAACACAATCGATTTATTTTTTTTTTCAAATGCCTTTTGTTTATTATATAGAAAACGACTCGAGTCGTCGTATCCAACTATATAACTAATGTAAAATTATTTTACTTTAATAAAACAATATTTATCTTACAAGATGACGGCGTAAACACAGTATCTGGCTTTGACGCACGACCGTGGGCCGTCGTATTTTGAAAACGATTCATATGGCGAAGCCGATATCGAAGAAAAGTCATCGCTGGTCAGAGGTGTGCTCTCCGTGGCCATGTTCTTGTACGGGTTTCACTGTCCTAAGACAAACAAAAAATAAATACAACACCAATTATTAATAGCAATATAGTTTGGTAAAATGAGAGATAAAAAAAATACCTACCTCTATCCACTAAAGTGTTGTGTTTGGAAACTATTCGAATAACTTTCACTCGAATAATGTATTATCTAGATGATTATTTGGATAATGAAGTTTCATCGACGAATGATGCAAAACTGTGATTTATGATCACAAGAAAAACTCAACAGTGCGTTCTGTCAAATAATACATTGTTAAAAACTTGTGAATGGGGCAATCGTTTTCAATCTAAATCAATAGGCAGATTTGAGTAGTGCGTCAAGCCGTTTAGAAGGACAAAAGTGAGAACTAATTGTTCCATATATTAGTTGTAAAAACAAAACAAAAAACGTTATAAGCAATTAATATATCTGTACGAATTTTTAAAACTTAAGAAAAAAAAGTACAGTCAAGTTACCTTTTATGGAAAACGCGCGTGTCACCTTCAACATAGGTACTACGGGTTCTCGGGCAATGGATTCGGTCTGTTGCCAGGGGGAAATGTGATAACTAATATATATATAAATATATATATATATATATATATGACTCAAAAAGAAGCCCTTCAAATCTATATCGACGATAATATTATGTATAGCGTGTGACGATTATACTTTTTTATGTTCAAATGGAAAAAGTAGGGACGATATTATACACGGTGTTATGTAAAAGACACACATTATGGTCGTTGAAATAGTAAAATACAATGTTTGTATGTTATTATGTTATTAGCTGATGCCGGAAGTAACAATAATGTAACTTCTTCGTATTTGATGTATTAGCGTAATCTCATGGATCAGACACAGTATGGATAAAAGCGGATGGGTCACTTTCAATGTGCAAACAAAAATAGTGACGACCATATTTACTATAAAGACCTATTTAGTATTGTCATGTTTTATACCTATACCCAACTAACAATAATAATGTATAGGTATATAACATTAATACTTGATTTCCTGTTAAATTATTATTAAGCCTAAGTATATTGTAAACTGATTTTAGAAAATATTACTTTTTCCGATAAAAAAAAGATTAAGAGCTTTTTATATATATATATTTATTGTTATGTATGTTATGTATATTGTATATACAACACATACATATATTATACATATTTTGATGACACTCCATCACCTGTTATAGACTATATTTGTCAATTTTTAATGTTTTTTTTTTATTTATGAGTTTCTTTTTGTTTCTATGTAAAAAATATCGACGTATGTCACATTGAATTTTGGTTAGGGAGAAAAAAAAACAGTTGAACTATAAAAACCCCAGTATTTCAAAGTATAAAAGTAAAAGTATAAAATGTCAACTTCAAAACTTTTACACAGCCCGTATGTGTTTATAATATTTAGTTTCCATGATGTATGTATAGAGAGATCCGAGTTATTAAACATTTCTATTCGAATGCCTCACAATTGTGCATTTTCCGGTAATAAATAATGAAATTACGGTTGAAACTTTGTTTTATTTCTATTTTTCATGTCAATTGTACGTCATATTAGATAAAATGCGCCTTCAGTTAATATTTCAGCATTTTATATTGTAGAAAAAAAAACACATTTTCCCCATCAGACGGATTCGCCCGTTTAAACAACAATGAGATATTTCATTGAATCTGAAATTGGTAGTTGAATTGAGATTTCGATAGAAGCAATGTAGCAAATGTAAAACGAAACTAATACATGGGAAATAATTGAGAAAAATAAGTCATAAAAATAAAATAACATACAATTGGACCGAGCCACACTTTTTAAAACGTAAAGTTGAATATTTGATTAGAAAAAATATGTATAATATAATAATACTTGTAATAGAAAATTATTTATTAAAACTGTTTGTTTACATTACATAGTTATAATTAAATAATTTTGAAGTACTAATAAAATAAATGTGTTGAAGAGCTAGTTTTGAAGGGGTCTAAGCCATTTCTAGCCCCTTGGCTTGGCCCATATGTTAAGTGCCCCAACCGTAGATAGATGCTGGATAGATCCGCTCTCGTTATACAAGGTGTTTACTGGACTCGGTTCTTTTTAGAAGCAATTTGAATGTTCACAATGTGTTGTAGTCTGCAAACAGTAACTCTCCGGTGGGCATATCTATGTAATCTTTACCGGACCATTGCCCCGGCCGGTGTAGCTGGTCTCCCGCTTCCGGTCTGATAGTGGTCAGCAGAGGTGTACCATCTGGGTTCACACTCAAATACCGCAATAGCACTTCCGGTACGCTGTAGGGTCCTGGAGGTTTGGCATTTTGATTGATCATTGGCACATCACGGCCCGTGTCAAATGCACTCTTGCCCGACCGTTTCATATCGTTCTGTCGAAAAATATTTCCATATGTGTTATTATAATATTATTAAATAAAAAAACCCTATTTTTTAATTTAATTTTGCCTAAGGAATTTTGTAAAATTGGGCCTTTGTTATAAGCAAAACTTTTAAAATCGAAAGCCTATATTTATTTAATAAAAACAAATACTTGTTCTGTGTATGAAATGTAAGGTTTTGTTTTCAATACCTCGCACATATTATATTGACACGCTTAAAAAAAAAACAAAAGTGTCATATAGAAAACAATATTAATTTCGAGAATATTACGACACTCAAAAGTAGTTATCACAATATTGTACTTTGTAAGACTTTGTTTTAATCACAGTTGTACTTTGTTTTATAAAATAATACTTATTAGGCCCTATTTTTACTAAAACAATAAAATAATGTTATCTTATTACGGTATGCATACTGAGCCAATCTTCTAGCACAATATCAAATGAAATAAAAAATCATTTTGATAAGGAATTGGGCCCTTGTTCTCTAATGAGTGTCTCAATTGTGTAATTAGGTACAATAGCAGTGTGTTTGTCAATTAAATTAGTACAAAAATAGCATCTTTGCTAAAAAAACGAATTGGTAAAATTGATAATTATTATTTCTTACTATATAAATCACTGGTAATCAGTGACTTCTACCGACTGCATACACGACTTACCTCTGCCGTACAAACGTGATTTAAACAATAGTAGTTGATATTGTTGGCGAAATGACACCAAGTTCCATCTGGCAAGTATGGATCTAGTGGTAAATCGGCCACATCGAGCTTAGGTGTGTAATACGAACCGGTATCCTTACGACGGCAGAATATCGAACACCCCATCCAAGGTCTAGCTGTATGACAACCAAAAAAAAAGAAATTGTAATTTGCAAATTTTCACTACGCAGACTAGTCAAGCCAGCTTAAAGTATTGAGTGTAATGTGTGTTCAAAAAGTGCTACAAAATATGCTGTTGCTTTTTTTACTAGCGCGCCAAATAATAGCAGATAAGAAATAATATGACTAAATTATTAACTAATAATATTATACACAGTACATGATTTCCACAGTTGGACTTTGTTAAACATAACCGTGTGTGTATTACTATTAGTTATAAGAAACGCATTAGGTAGAATTTGAAGTTTTGTTTTGTTTTAACCGTTTCAACTTATTTATTGTATAGATAATTAGTCGAATGTAGTGAAGTATTTTTATTGTTAAAGAAAAATGTAATCTCGCTTTGTATTTGCTTTGTTTCAATATGCTTTGACAAAGTTATAACGGGAATCCTTTTGTTAAAAACTTTTTTTTTTGAAAAAAGTTTAACCAACAAAGTTTGAAGATGAATGACACTTACCTAATGATTGTTTATGTCGATTTTTTCATAGCTCAAATCGTATTTTAAGCAAATTTATCAGTTCAATAAAATGTATACCAAAGTAAATAATTTCTTTTATTATACTATCGATATTATTTCTCCTTACGAATAAATAAATTAAGAGTTTACAATTAACGCATAATCAAATTGATTGTTATTTTTCGTCGTCGAGTGAACCGTTTAAAAAAGTTAATAGTTACCCTCACCTCCACCCTGACACTATCTTCTGACTGAAGGAAATATACTGACCTTCTTCGTGAGGTGCTTGCAAACCAGAGTACTGTTCGTCGAGCATCGGCAACACGTCTCCGAATTCCTTACACTTGCCGGTCGCGTATTCGGTGACTAGCATTTTTTGCGATTTTTTACACACCTCAATATAATAAGAGAAAATGGAAATAATTAACGTTCAATCTGTTCCTAGATACCTTCTAAATCGGTTTGTGCCGCATACCTTGTCGTCTTTGCAGATGACGGTTTCTTGTTTGGGTCCTTCGCAACCTTCGTCCGTGTTTATGGGCGCCGGGTCGTCGCATTTCCTCGTTCTCAGTCTGAAACCTAAGTGTAGAAGTTCAGTTTAGTTCCACCTGAAGATGGACATCTCTGGCCGAATGCATACTTACCTTTGGATTTATGAATACACCCCGAAGTGCACTCGTGAACCTTCCACGGTCCCCAACCACCCCTTATGATCTTTTTCGGTTTTTTCGGTTTGCCTTTGACACATTTTCCCGCTACACACCACTGCGTTAATAGTGATATGGAACAAAAAAAAATAATAGCGATAGGAAAAAAACCTTCATCCGGTTATTATAGTAATAAAAAAAAAAAAAAATGCGACGTCCACGTGTATTTGATTTAATTATAACAGACCGTAATGAATGTTGAAAATTAAATTAAATTCTTTTATTGGTATCGTCAGTTCTTTGTGAACACACAATGAAGCGTTTTAGTAGATTAAACCGTATTATTATTATATATTATATTTTATATAATATGTAGTTACTGAGTTCGGTCCGCAAGTAGTCCCTTCCAACGCCGGACCAGCAAAATAATATCCAAGGCGGTTTGGCGTTTCGCATTGTAAATTTTCGCAAACATCCTGCAGACAAGAGAGAGAGTGGTTTTTAACATGATATTCCAGCTGAATTACTAATATATTTTCTGTACATTTTAACGGTTTTATCAAATAAATAAAGCGAGTATTTTTAATTAACAATGAAAGAAAGCATAACAAAAAATACGAAACAAAAAATCCTAGTTATTTTCTCCGCTTCGCGGAAAAACATTTAATCATCTTTTATCATTTATTTTTTTTCCCTCTTATCTCTTATCACATCTCTCGTCTCTTATCTCTAACTGAAATTGAAAGTGTAACGCGAAAATGGCGTCATTAAATTTCTCGTATTCAGCCCAATAAATAACATATTATCCAAAAACTATAGCTAATATAGTTTAAACTATAGTATCCACTGACAATGCAAACAATTACAATATTTATTAATTAAAGTAAAAATTAACAATATTATTAAGAGGTAATTTGAGTTTAAGAAAAACCTACGCTGCCATGTTGTTTACCATTTAATGGAATGTACAAATGCTACGTTACTTTTCCTTGATAAATATTAAGAGGGCGTCGCACCGGTGATTTTCAGTGGTAAAAACATGTTTAAGCAGACTGAAAATAACTTGCTTAATTTTGGTTTTAGAGTAAAAGCACCAATTATAAAATCAAAAGAAAACAATATTTCAAAGGGCAAAACGGTGCGTTTTTTTAAAAAAAATTAATTTTTTGGAAAGTTACAGTCATTTAAAAATGTTAAAATAGTCGTTATTTCTAAACTATGTATTGAGCATTATACTTAGAATAATGAAAAAAATGCACCGTCTTGCCCTCCGAAATATTGTTTTCTTTTAATTTTATAATGGGTGCTTTTACTCTAAAACCAAAATTAAGCGAGTTATTTTCAGTCTGCTTAAACATGTAGAGATGAAAAAACATTTTTAAATCACTTTCAAGGATGCTGTGATAGTCCGAAAAAAAATTAACTACCAAAATAGAGTCCTGTTGTTGAACTAATAGTTACACATCACAGTTTAACCTTTAAATTAAGATTTTGTGAAAAATTGCCTATACTTTACTCCTTGAAAATAGGCGGTGCGATGCCCTCTTAAAATGTTAGGTTAGGCGATGATAACATGATGATAAATCCGTCATATATATTTGATAAATCATGGAAAAAACGATAGCTGTTCACAACATTGAAGCCATTCAATAGTGGACATTTTTACAAGCAGCTATGACTATCCCTTTTATTGAGTTCGGTGATTATAAGTGTAAAACGTTTGTTTGTATTTTATTTTTCTAGCGAATTAAATTTCTCGTCAATGATAATCGATTGACCCACCTCTGATTGCGTCTTAGACGATCCCGGTGATGTTGTTTCTGTATTCTTTACTTTGGCATCGCTGTCCAACAGAAGCAATTCGCATTGTTTTTTTGCATCCCAAGCTTGGCCGGGTTTGTCGGCATATTTACCGTGGTCCAACTTGACGAGTTCGCCAGAACGGTGTTTGTTGGTTTTGAAAAGACAGTCAAGCTTACTGGAATAAATAATTAATAAACGAATTTCGATAAAAATGTATTTCGTTTAATTTAAAGTATGTAAAACAGGATATTTCTTAACAAACAGAGTTATGCAAATGCATTTCTTAAATTTCTACAGGAAGTCGTTAATCATAATATGTTAATTTTTTGTTAGCTATTTCTGAACAAAACGCATTTTAATTTACTCCATTTGTCTATTAAATAACCGGCTTGACCTTGGTTATTATTTATAATTTCAATTACCAAGTACAAAAATCTACTAAACTATAAAAAAAAAAAAAAAAAAATAGAACCGAGTCCAGTTTATGCTTTAATTAATTTTTCTAAACAATCCATAAGTAATTTCTAACGTTAACTTTACAATAACGTTAGAAAAAACTTGTTTTTTTTTTATAGTTTTAACTTTGACGCTAAGCTGAGAAGATACTTTTGTCTTTGGACTTATATTTCTAAAACGTTTTTTAACAAATCAAAAATATTTTTTAAAATTCGGTTTTTGACCGAAGAAATTCAATGTCTCATAAATATTTTTTCTTTTTTACAAGTTGTCACTTATTCTTAAATAATAGTAATATCTTTCCATATTTTTCAATAACATAAAATAGAATATAATAGTTTTAGTGTAACCGCAAACGCCGAAAGGCTGAAGTCAGTATGATAATATTTTTTATGATAATAAGAGGTGAAACTTATTTAATCGTATACACAGTACCAGCCGCTCAACAATGAAGCATTTTTTATTTTTATTTTGTGTGGTCATACTGGTTCTGGTCCTTCTGTTTACTTCACAATCACATATACAAGCTAATGACTCAAACAACAATATATTAAATTAAATGCATGCGTTCGTTTCTTGGGGTTCGAAACAATGTTTCAATCGATTATGAACGGTTCAAAACAGAAGTTAAACGCCAATAAATGGACAACAGCCATTCGGGTGAAAGGGGTCGTTTCGTTTTCAGCAATATACGTTTAACCATTATGTTTTTAGCTTGGCTCCCACGCATTTTAGTTAGATCCATTCTATCAAGCATACCACAAGTTTAACCGTGGAATGTCACAAATAACATCCTATTGTTTATTGCGCGGTCGTGTAATATTATGTAATATCGCACAAAAAATCAACATAATCCTGGAATTACCATTATTTGACACGTGGCCAAAGAACTATACAAATAACATGTAAATGATTTTGATGTTTGAATAAACTTACTGAAAACTTGAAGCCACTTGAGCACTGCAATCCGACCAAAGTAGCTCGCCGGTCATTCCCCTCGAAGGTGACATAATAAATCCTTCTGTCGGACAGTTGTTCGAGCTTCCGTCGTGGTGCATACCTAGACTATTAGTGCATTTCATCGTATAATACAACAAAGAGTGTCTGACTGCCCAACTGATAGATAACCTACAGAAGGCACCCCTTGCAAGCAAAAGAGTCAGTAAGAAAGAGAGAAGCTAGACGTTCTAGGTGTTTAAATTATAGTGTTGTGTTTCTTAAAAATGTATTCATCATTTTGGTTTGCTATAAATTAAATAACAAGCGATTGAGTTGAAAAGTAGGATTAACATTGAGAATGACATATGAGGGAATTCGGATGAAGGTGGCTTTGCTGTGTTGTATTTAATGATATAAATGGAGATAATAAAAGCGACAGCAACGACATATTGAAATTGATAGAAACAACTAATTGAAAGTGGGAAAAATAGTAATAGAGACGAAGAAAAAATGGACATTTTATCATTTTATTGGTATCGTTTGATACATTCAAACCGTTGTAATAGTAATAATTAATATTGTATTGTTTGAAAACTGAGAACAAACGAAACATTTAGAATAATAATTGGTTTTATCTATTAACGATAACAGTAAGTTTACACAATTAATGTGTATAAAAGTGAAAAATATAAACTGTTCATAAAAGTCCTGTACATACGTTTATTGTTTATACGTGTACAACATTATAATATGTTGTAACGTTGCCAGTAAACATAATAATTGATAGCGAAAGCAATTTAGACGTTTGCTATAAAGGTGTAATTGAATTGACTAATAATGTGTATATTTAAAAAATTTTCAATTACATTTCAATTCAAGATTAAAAAAAAAAAATATATATCTTTATAATAGTTATTTTTTTATCGAACGTCGACAATAGTAATTGATTTTTTCAATCGGCAAAAAAAAATTAATACCTACTACTCTATTTTTGTAATTCGAATTTTCTTCACGTTCGTCGCTATTATTTATATTTTGCCAGGCGGATATTTAACAGGTTGAAATTGCAACTAACCGTCAACCGCGACTTAAGCTCACCAAACGAATTTCAGACCAGAGGGAAACAAGAGGGAGATGTTTTGTCTTTTTTCGACCTTTCTTTGGCCTTAAGAAAAAAAAAAGAAAAAAGACCGGCAAACGTCTAATGTAACAGTGTACAACACCGCCGTCGCTTTCTTTCGCTCGGCCACGTTGTCGCAATTATTTTAAATAAGAATAATAATTGAATTTATTAATTAAAATAAATTATTCCGTGTTACGTTGGGCAGTAAGTTGATTATTATATTAAGTCGTATGCTAAATAATATAATATTATACCTAACTGTTGTGCTCGTGGCATTCACCGGGCACCGCATTCCTACAATCTACATCCCTCTTGTTCCCGGCTTCCTGTTTTTTAGGTGCGCGAATGTCATCAAAATATATTATTTATTAAATTCCGACATTCATTAGAGTCTTTTTTTTTCTTTTACATTCATAAGTTGAATATAAAAGCTCGTCTATTGTACGGTGGATTCACCGAGGAGAATAATACGGCTTTATGGAGGACAAAATCTCTTTTTCTTAAAATTCATTTTTATACCTGTATATTTTAATTATAATTTACTTTTACTACTTATTTTAAATGATAACCCAACCACTGCGAAGAATGCTTTTTTTTTATTGGATTTTGCAGAATATTTTTATAACCATTGCAGTGTTTGCTTTGTTGTTTTAATTATAATATTTTCTAACGTTATTCTATATTTAACTGTTTTTTCTATTTACCTGTGACCGATTTCGTGGGCTAAAATATAAACAGACGTGAAGCCAGCCGACGGATAAGGTTTGCCCAGAACGTTTGTGGAGCCAAATTCAGCTATGATGCATGAATATTTTTCAGAGCAAACGCCACCGACAGTTGCTAAACCTGTGATAAATTCAACGGATTTTTAATGTAATAATGATTTTACAAGTGTCTAGATTCCAAGATGACAGGCATTTTGGGATAGGAAAGGGGCTTTTGACTCTTTTATAATTGTTGTATAAATTAAAACTAGATATAAATTATAATTTAACGGTCAAGCTGTGTTAATCTAAATTAAAATTTACCAGATAAGTCACTTTTTATCAAAGAAAAACATGTTTAAAAGTAATTAAAAAATATTAAACCTTTTTTTCGCAATAAAAACGAATTTTATGACATAAAAATGGTCCTTTTTTTAAAAATAGATACTAAAAAAATACTAATAATAGTAACTAATGTATAAATTTATATGATTATACATACCCATTGTAGAACCAGTCCATTGACCGTTTTCGATCGAGTAAAAATCTAAGCTGAAAAACGTTGTAATTCTAAATAATATTGCTATGAATTATAATGCATTGTAGTTTTTTGACATGTTAAATTATCACTTAATATATGTGGTTTAGGTCAAGAATGGGAAATCCCACTATTCATAAACTGTGGCCAAGTAATGTTTTTATTGTGTTTGGAGATCTGTGTTAATTATTTTGCCAACTGCATAACTTCTCAATCTTAGTCCTTAATTTTTTCCCCACAATATAGAATATATAAGGTCAAATTGTATAATATAAAATACACCTTACGTGACGTTATGGGTGATTTGTTGGTAAAATATTATAATGTGTATTTAATATTGTAATGACTAATTGACTATAAAAAAATGTCATATAAAATATTGTAGAAATGTAACTAAACGAATTGTCGATTAATATAATATACAACCACGCGTTGTGGTTAAAGCGAAAATAACTTTGGGAATTCTTTTTTTTTTATGACTTCCCTTTACATTTTAAACATGTATTTATATACATTTATAAAGAAAAAAATGTGTTATAAGAAAATGAAAAAAAAAATCCTTTTCACGAAACACTATTTCAAAATATATTAATAGTAATTGAAATCAACGGGGCTTTGGTATATTGTAACGCTTGAAAACGAAGACCTTTAGTGTAAAAATGATTATGTATATGAATTTAAAAAAAAATAAAAAAATCTAAAATCTAAATTCGATCGAGTATTTATAAAAGAGTTTTTATAACAATTTTACCCTTCCTGTCGCCCTAAACTTTAAACTCGAATAGTAATAATTATTAAAGAACTGGTCCTTGACTGATCTTGATCTGTCAAGATTTCAGCGAGCCATTTTCTTTTTTATCATTAAGTTAATATTAATCACATACGTTTCCATTTTAGTTTCAAACGTCGAGACAGCAGACTGGAAACTGAATACCAAAAAGGTAAATATTTGGTAATTTTTTAAGTAGAAACGTTTCCAAACATATAAACCACAAAATTGTAATTTTTTTCCGAGAAAATGACCGTCTTATGCATATTTTCTGCTTCCACTAACACTACTTTAACATACAGTTACCCGGAAATGTATAGTCCTATGTCCCATTGGTCGTTTTTCCGGTATTTCTTATTAAACGAGCAGAACGAATCCAACAGCAAATTCCTTTCCCCGTCATGATGAGGCAAGTCGACCGGTTGTTTTTTGAATATTTCAAGTTTTGTCATCACGATATCGAGTCTTTGGCCCAGACTCGGATGATGGTACAACGCTTGCACCTACCAAATAAAAAAAAATTATTCACTTCAGACGAGTCCAACGTGCGGTGTAAGTTAAATAAAATATATACACATACAGTGCAGGCCAAATGTTTGAAAAAAAAACCGTTTATAAAGTTTGTTCATTTATTTTACCAAAACGACTTGGCTTTATTTACATCATTTTGGTGTGTACATTTCTGATTATTCTCAAATGTGTTTTATATAAATCTAACAAAAATTTAAAAAAAAAGAAAACAAGAAAATGTTACTGTGAAAATCATTTTTTGCTTTAACGATTTCTGTGCATTTTTTGGCATTCGAATTTATTGACCGCCTTTTCGAAATCGTTTGACAATTATCGATTTCAACAATGATGTTATCGATGACACAACGTTACCTTAAATCTGGTTGCATGATAGTTATTGGTAGTAATTTAATTTTAGTAACATTCAAACATTTTTTTTTTTTAATTTGATTTATATTAAATACATTAAGAATAATCATTAAGCGGTTTAGTAAAATAAATGAATAAACTAAAAAAAATCACTGCTGTTTTCTCGTGTGTATTCAACCTTTTGGTCTGTATCCACTGCAATAGTGTATACATTTTTTTAAAATTTTACCTTTCCCTAATGCTATTCAGTACCATACAAACATGATCACTTAATGTTACAGTCAATAACAGTTATGTATTCAATTTAAACGCCACAACATATAATAAAATTAATAGTAAATTCAAATAAAACAAACAGCTGTGCTACGTTTTACCGCCATTGTAATCCACTCGTTGTATTTACCGGTTAAATAATTTTCAGAGCATAGTATATGAGGCGCCCGGATGCCAAACCGATTAACTCCAGTCAAAGTTATTCGAAACAATGTATGTAAGTACAATATTGCCAATTTTTTTAGGTGAAAAATTAAACTATGGAGTTATTTATCTGAAAATTATACACTTTTTTTGTGAATCCGAATTAAAAGTGGAGTTAATCGGTATTGCGGTTGGCTGCAAGTGGGCTTTTTTTATAAAATGTTCTTTTTATTTTAAAAGAGTGTTACAATGAATACTTTAATTATTATACTAACGGCGTTGACGTATGCTAGAATCATGTCGACCAGCTGTTCGTCGTCGTGCTTGAAGTAAGGCGAGAAGGTCTTGTAAGCCGACTCGTCGAAAAATAGAGCCGTTTCCAAAACGGCACTGGCTCGGTCGGACTTGTCGTGGGATTTCGATTGTTCCTTCTGGCGGTGGACGGGGAGGGGGGGTAAGAAAATAAATTAAATTTTGTCACGGGCAAAAAAAAAAGAATATGTTTTTAATTTATACTTACAAAAAGATCCGGCGAAACGGAAACGCGGTGTTCCTTCGACGGCAGTGTGTCTGAATTGGCAAAAAAAAAAAAAGATAGAAAAAAAGAATCAAACAAAAATGAAAAACTGTCATGGGAAATTATACGAGGGATTCCTTAAACGTCGCTTTCCGAAGGGACGAGACCGGTATTGTGATATCCCGGACGTTCCTATAAAAACACTATGATATAATACACTGTAGGCAGTTTCTTCACGTACACGTGTCCAAAGTTGTTGGCCGAATTATTATTGTTTATTACTTTTCTTCTTCTTCGTCTTCAAAAAAAAAAAATATATATATATATATATATAGTTTGACTATAACGAAGTGATGGAAAAAAACACTAGCTGTATTATAATATATTTACAAAAACAACAGCCAAATATTGCAATATTATTCTATACGAAACTGCGGCTTCTAACTTATGGCTTATTATTATTATGTGCCTAAATAAGAATATATATTTTATTTCTGTTATGATAACAATTGGAGGATGTTTGAACAAACTCAAAACTACTCAAATAATAGCGAACCAGTGGTTAACGTTACAAGTATTCGGTTATAGACGGGGACATTATACTAACACAATATTTCCAATGTATACACATATTATTATTATAATTATTATTTATAGCTACCGAATCCGTCGGTCCACGTGTGATTTACCGTCGGCGCTCGTTTCAAAATGAATGCATTTTCGTTGCCATAACCGCACCGATACTTACACAACCTCGGAGTAACCGATTGCAATTCGAACGTGACGTCTGGTAAGAAAACAATACCGCTCTGAAAGATTTAACGCGTATAAATTACATTATTATTTAGCGTATCCCGTAGAGTAAACATATATATATATATATATATATATAGAGAGATGTTCTGAAGTAATCAAGAAGGCGACCTGTCGCGGTGTGACCATTTAAAACAATAAACTAAATACTCTTTTAAAACAGTACACATTACTTAAGATTAAATAAATCAAGTCAGTGCACTAAAACTTTAATAATCTCAGGTCAGCGTGATCGAAGTATCGAAAAACAATAATCCTTTTCCATTACAGTGTGGTTCGAAAAAAATGTTATCAAATTACTGTAATGTTATCACTATCAACTATCGTTAATCAGCTATTTGTTATCAATAATTCTTATCAGTTTACGTTATCATTGTAAATAGTGCAATTAGTTTAAGCCAATCAAAAATCGTTATTAGAATATCAGCTATTGTTTTACCGTGAAGTGCACTGTCTGGTTTTATTCAATCTTTGGTACAATCCTTATCAACTATAGAGATCAACGGATAAATTAAAAATGTATACTATGATAATGTGATAATTTTACAAATGAAAAGTCATAGTATGCTTTGTATCACGCGGTTGAAGTAGTGAAATAAATAGCGTTGAATTCCGGTCAGCAGTCCGTTTTTTTAATTATAATAATTACTTTGGAACTGCCCGGACAGTATGTAAAAGCCGCTGCAACATCTTCATAGTTATCCCGTGTTCGATGCATGTAGTGACACCTTTTTGGAGATTTCCTATTCAACTCGACCAATTCCTCGCCGCCGTCTCTTATTGTCCACTGGAAATTATCGCTAATCAAACGATCATTCGGTTCTAGGTATAAACGAACAGATCTACAAAACGAATAGAGAAAAAAACAACAATATTATTTTATTTTTACTGTGATATCTGGAGCACAATATCCATCATTATAGGCGATTTCAAATATTTATTTGGAGACCTCGGGACTTGGAAGTAATTTTTCAATAAATATTCGACCGTCGAGGAAAACAAAATTGAATTGTAACGAACAAACACTAAAGTTCAAGCTGTTTTAACGAGGGCTTAAACAAACGAATGCGAACAACAATAATTGTATGTACCTATTTGCCGTTTCGGTTTGAAACTATTTGTTTAGTGTTTAAATCATCTTCTGTGTACAACGGGAGCAAACTTATGGCTGCAAATAGAAAATAATATCGTTTGTTTTAAGTTTTCACTAAAGAAGTCCTACTTGCAATTTATTTACGTATACCCGAATTTCTCTAATAAAAAAACGTTTTAAATCGTTTTTTTTTTATACAACGCTGTGTACGTTGATTTTAAACACAGTTTGCATTGTACATTTCACGAGATACTTTGTACGCGTGTAGAAAAAAAAATATAGACTTTTTTTCCCCTCTCGAAAATCACTCGACGATTGAAAAAGTGGAAATAGAATTGTTGTCACAGCGATTTACATAACGAGCGCAACTTACTTATTTTCACTTTAACAAGTAAGAGTAGTAGAGCCGGTCACCCCAACACTCGCCTTGGTACGTTTCTGTCCTTAGCTATTTCTCTGTCCAATTTTTCTGAGCTTGTCTCCACTCTAAATTCTCACTCACAATATAGAACGTGAAATAAATCTGAAATCTCTAGACGATACCTCTAAGGGGTTTTGCTGAAATTTGAGGAAATTGATTTCAATTTCGATTTTTATTTTTCAAGGTATTTGAAAACCACGCAAAAGCAAATTTATCCGTTTATTTACACAAAACAATAACTGTATTAGGTCGTTGGATTTCAAGTGTTCCTTAGAGATCAAGAGTTTAAACAATCTCTTTGAAGATTTATTAGTAATATTTGTACTACCCATTCTACTGTTCGAGGGGTCTTGGATGTACTTAAATAAAATACATATATAAGGCAGCCAATACAGTTAATGCAGAACAAAAATCAGTAGGACTTGTCAGACGCAGGACTAAAGCATATTATATTGTATGAAAACCAACGTTGTTTGAATTTGATGTCATAAAGCAACTTATATGATTTGAGATCATCACACGATGATAGCTAAATGATATTTCACATATTATTGAATATTTTATAAACAAAACAAAGAGCATATTCATTTTCTATCAACTTTGTACCCATTGTATTTTATTATCAGGTTTTGTATTATATTTTAATAGTGATGGAATTTTTAAAGATTATGTCGATTCTGCTATTGTTTCCCGACGGAGGTCGTGTTCCGCACTGATTGTTTCCACTATGTTATTTAAATTATGTACAAATATGTATTTTGTGTGCACTACAGCCGGAAAGGATATTGATTTTTTTTTAATCTCTGATTCCCGTAGCTAGTGCTGAGGTAAAAAAAAAAGTTTTATTTATGATCTGCCCATAAAAACTGAACCCTCTGTCAATTTTAGAAGGTATGTATAAGATAAAATACCCTCGATGAATAAATCTAAATGTTTTGTAGGAAATATTCAAGCCGGGGCACTTTGTAGAGTTACCTATGTCTAAATGTAATTACATATGAATTTATTATCCACACTAAAACTTATTTCCGATCATCATAATTTCTGCAGATCTGTATATACTATCATAATATCAAATTGGTTTATTTTATACATTAGCTGTATTGGCCATAACTAAAAATATGTCTAAGGCTGTATTTTGAATTGGTATAGTTTTTGACTGGACAGAACCTCGTGCAATGATAGCTCTGCCACAATACTATCATTGCTGTGTGTGTGTGTGAGAGGAGAGTTTTGCAAGTTTTCTGTATCTCTTTTGGTTTTTTTTTTTTTTTTGAAACTACCGAACCGTGTGGAGAAAACTACTACCTATGTATTAGTTCACAGAGAAATACAACAGCTAAAATCCATTGGGAATAGAATATTATAATATGGAAATACACACGGCTAGCGCAATTAGTAGACGAATAAGACGTTTCCAAAACATGTCTGAGCACGTGTTCAGGTCGAGTGAGCTTTGTCGACGGTCAAACGACACACCACTTAAAGAGAGAGAGACAGAGATTTGCCATAACGACATACCTATGTGTGTGTTTTTTTCTTCGAAAACGGAGTTAAGAAAATAGGAAAAATCGTTAAAACTAAACGCGCCAGTCAGTATAGCTGTTTGGAATGGGTACAAAATAACGCCGGTTTAATCGTTAGTGCCGGTGTGTTGAACTCTGTACTCGAAGAAGAGCTTTTCTTTTCCCTCTCAAATGCAAAACACAAATAAACATGCATGCTTGGCGAAATCCTTCTCTTATTTCAACGTCTCACGATACGCGCATATGGGCAATGACATCAGCTCGTTAGGCGCGCAGTTCCCGTCACGTCATGTGCAACGGCTTTATTTAGCTAGTTTAGTTTAGTTGGTGTTTTTTTGTTTTCTTTTTATCGATTTCCGTTGAGATAGGTTGAGCCATAAGAGCCATACAGTAGTATACTCGAGTGCAATACACAATTAGGTGTTTAATTAGGTTCGGAACTAGAATTGAGGCACCGCCAGAATTGTGGGATACGAGCAGCAAACCCTTACTATAATACTGAATCCATCCCTTGTTACTTGAACATCACATCTTACCTTCCAAAAGCCAAAAACGAACAGTCGGGACGATCGGCCGGATTGGTTAACGTGACGATATCGTATTCGGGTACATCCACCGAGTCGGACACTCCAAAATAGTAGTCGATTTCATCTTTGGTCATTGACTCGTGTAGATTCTGGAACAGGTAAAAAAAAATACACATGTTTAGTGAAAGGTTTGCCGGAAGCAGACTTGGCAATATAACTAAATAGAAAATGTACAAAAAAAAAAAATCGTTATTGTTAAAAACATATAATTTTATAGCGAAACACAACACGAGGTGGTCAATTGATTTTTTTCAACTAATTTTTTTATTTAGGACGCGATTTTTATTTATTAGCCCTGATTTTTATATTATATTTATTATAACACACAACTAACATACAACTGTATTGTATTTATAACGTGCAATAATAACTATTTACGCTGTATGCATATCTACATACAATTACTCACAGAGTTTAGTTAATAATTACATTTTTTTTTCTATAGCGTCTTTGTATGATGTGATCTCAATTTTCAACCATTCTACATTTTTAGTAAATTATACTCGATTAAAAAAATGAATGAAATGTATACTCGGTACCATTAATGTAACTATGAAAAACCCAATTAGGAATAAGGGATGGTGGCAAAAAGGGGAAAATAAATAAGAAGTAGAGATTATGGAAAAACAAAAGTTAAATTTCTTATTCAACCCAATGAGATATTGAGTGGTTCGCAATAAAATGACCACCCTGTATTATTTGCACACTTACATATTACAATAATGTATTTTATATTTTGGCACATGACATTTTACAACGCATATAAGATAGTGTTTGGATGATATTTTTTTATTCACAAGTCGTTTAAGCCATTACCTTTATTCGGTGCGACTATGTTGTTAAGATAAGGGTGCTTTTTTGTAACTCTTAGAATCTATAACTATAAAATTTATGTTGAGATCTGAACGTACCCACCAATAGTTATTTATTAAATACCTACTTTTAGTATGATGCGAACGTAGCTACATAAAAAATTAATATAAGCCAGGGTTTTTTTTTATTACTTCACTTGATTGTATACATAATATAGTGTAGAATCCAGACGTCCTTAAGCTGTTTTAATAATATATATTTATGTACAGGTTTGACAGTGAACGTGCATACAAAATGGCGTCTGACGGATAAAACAATATGAAACGAACTTGAAATACGACTTGTATAGGAACGAATGTACACATAGAGTTAAACGGAACTTATCAAAGTTCTCTAAAAGCTTTTGTTGTAGCAGTCACGTTTTCAAAACGAAGTCAATTAGTCGAAATAATAAATGATTAATAAATAAATAGATAAAAATGGAAAACAAACGAAATGGACGATATTCAAGCTGGTAAATCAAAAAATATAGGCCTTTTAGCTCCCATAGAGAAAATAGTAAGCTTCCAATATAAAAAAAATATATAAATCGAAATTCACCCAATAGATAACAATGACTTTTTTCATCAATCGAAGAAAAATAACCCTAAAAGTCTTATAAGTAGAAAATCTTTTTGGTTTTTACATTAAATTTAATCGGCATACTTAAAATGGTCACTAAATACATTTTTGACAAATATTGCCTATCCTTTGCTCGTTCATGAATAGCGCTTTCCGTTCCTCTTAAGGGGACGTCACACACCCGTTATTTTCTTCAAAAAACCCGCCTTGCGCGGATTCATTTTACAAAGGCTATAATCAAAACTAAGAAACCAAATTTTTACATATAATAGACAATAACATTGTCTGTGTTCTACTATCGCCTTTTTTTAAAAATATTTCAACCAGTTAATGAATAATTAATTAATTAATTAAGAAAGGACATTTTGACTTTCTAAAAAATGATATAGCGTTGGTTGTATTAGGTATATCGAAAAAATACGGATGGCGAATGATAATTTTGTCGTAAATAATATGTATGAATTTCTTTCCTTGACTATGTATGAAGCCTGAGAAAAATTAATCCGCGCAAAGCAGTTTTGATAGTAAACAAATTGTATTTTATCCTATTGAAATAACTGTGACAGTCTGACAAAAAAAATGGCAATGAATAAAGTATACTCATTACTGTATTAATAAGTATACATTAAAATTAAAACTCTAAATTAAGATTTTTCGAAAAATTGCCTATACTTTACTCCTTAGGAATGGTCGGTGTGGCACGGCGTCCTCTTAAAGGGATTGCGTGCCGTCTGTTTTTAAGGAGTTTTGTATAGGCAATATTTTAAAAAAAGAGGTAATATTAAATTTCGACCATGCCAATCAATATTCCGGTCAATTTGTACATATTTTTAATTTAAATAATTTTCTCCATGATTCAAAGCCGTTTTGGTTTATTCTAATATGTTTCCTACATAACCTAGTGAAGTAGCTAAAGAGTATTGAAATCAGACCATCTTAAGTAGCCCAAAATTTTGTCTGGCTTTTTAGTAGAAACCAAAAACAGACCGTTGCATGCAACAGGTATGTATATAATATATATATATATATATATATATATATATTTATACTGTGTGTGGTCGTACCTGGTAAACGTTATCCAGACCTAAAACCGAGCTGACCAGAGCTGCTGCGAACACTGCTGCCACGACTGTCTTCATTGCTTCGAGGACGAACGGCGAATAAGTTTGAAAATAATAACTGGTCAGGTACATACCCACTGTGGCATCGATCAAGTTCAGTGACACGGTGGTGATTATAACCGCTGGCGTTTGTGTGTTTAACGAGGGCTTTGTGTATGCATCCAAATTGCAATAACCGTACATACAATAATATGGGGGTACGCTAATTATTAACCGCAAGTAGTATTGTTAAATATTTAATTACACATTATATTATAATAGAAAAGATGTCTAGAAAATACACACACTAATTTGGGAGTTCTCAAATTTACAGACATACAAAAAAAAAAAGGGCATAATTGTAAAACCGGTATACTCTCTATCTGCGGGCACCGTATTAGAATTGATTGATATTGGTTTTTAAATTTTTTTGCAGTAGAATTTGTTACTTAAACCGTTACTAGCGATTGCAGCTGTGTTTCAATAGGGTCCTTATACTATACACTATAATAATATAGTAATGTACAACATAAAAGGGAGAACGACGACGACGGCGAGACTAGAGAAAATATTTTTTATTGTATCCCATTATTAATCGGATTGACTACAATGTGGAATCGGCATTGTCGTTTAGTTTGGATTTAATAAAACACGAAAATGGTTTTATATAAGATAAGAGGGGAAAAAATGGCCGATGCAGTTAATATCGTCCAAACCAACACAACAACATATTATCTTTTCGCGAAATGCCTCGTGCGGTACATACAAACGATTTCTGAAGTAGAGTATTAAGAAGAAAAAATAAAATATTATTATATTTTTTACCAATCCGACTTGGTAGGTTCTAATAATATCACCTTTGCATCGTAAACAAGTAATTTTATGTGAGCGTCGAAGAAGTTTGGGCGTTTTTCACAATTAACAACTTAACCGGCTCTCCTAATTACCAATACAGAATCGGTTCGATGCAAAATATGTAGTATATGCAGTGTCATTAATAATTATTAATACAGTATGAGAAAAACCAGCACAACAATGATATTTTTCTTGTCACAAGTGGGGTCTTCAACTAAGAAGACCTAACAAAATGTTTTGTATATTTTAAATTAAATTGATGATTTTTTCAAATAGAGAAATCTTTGAAGATGTTAAAATATGGTTGTTCATCTATTTTTTTTTTGAAAAAAAGATTATGCTTTAAAAAAATTTAAACAAATTTTGACTTGAATGTAATTCAATTGCTTACAGTATAATGTATGTGTACACAATATAGTATAATGTAGTATGATGTGAAAAAAATTGCAGATATGTTGGGAGTTCTCTTGGTTGGTATTTGGTCTTGCTGTGACTTTAAAATATGATTGTTATATTATTATTGCCCAACAAAAACGCATTTTATATATTTTATGCCACAAAAAACGTACTTGCGTTTTTATATTTTTCGAAAAAACCATTCCACCAATAAAACTGTGTTCATTTTTTAAAAATATATTCGGAGCAATAGCTAGAGGACAAGTATTGGAATAATGGCTAAAATTAAATTTTCTTCAATTCCCTCATGAGTAGTGAAAACTTTTGCTATAATTCACTTTTCAGACGCGGTTGAGGACTCAAATTTTCAATTCAAACTTATATTTTCGTCTAAAAGAAAACTTGAAGTTTAATAAAATGTGACCCTATATTTTATACTTCGATTGTAAATGTATTTATGTATGTGTAGTTGTTTAGTGGTAAAAAGTAGGCGTACACATAGGTGTAACTAGGTCTCTGAACTAGAAGGAAGGGGCTACATTCTAAGGTGGTTTTTAATTAAAAATAAAACATTCACTATGGAAGCCGAATGTCATTTTGCCACTTCAAGTTTTTTAATCAAATAAGTTTTTGATAATTTTATTGCAATGCATTCTATATCATATATTTGGAATATAAGAGAAGAAGAAGTTGTCAACTGTATGTCATTCAACTTGCACATTTAACATTAGTTAAAATGTATGTATTGTACAAAAGCCAATGACACGATTTCTTACATTTTAATACAGTCTGGTTTGATTTTGTATCGAAATCAAGTTGTTCGCTTTTTTCATGTATACAAACTATTTTCTTGAATAGAAGAACATCTGTTGTCAAATCTTAAATAAACATAATATGTTGTGGTGTTTGGGTTTAAGTGCTTCTTTTTAAACAGTTGTTTACGGCAGTCGAGTAGAATAGGCCAAAGCTTAGTAACGGTGTATTTGCGAGACCAAAACGACTTTGTTAGCAACTTTGACATTAAAAATAATTAGCTGCTCATCATGAATCGTGGCGGTTTGCTTTTGTTGGCGTTGCTGTTTTGCGGTCACACTCTGAACGTGGACACGTGGATTACACCGTTTTGTAAAAAAATATCTCTTCGGGACGAACTCAAATTTTTAATACCTTTGAACATGGGATATGATCCTGAACCAGTATTTGATAATTATTTGGACGAAACCGTGGAATTGATGAAGAAAAAGACACTGTGCGGAATTCAAACGATATGTCTATCAATTATGCAAATAACGGTGCCCACCTCCGACTTAAATGTGCAGACCCTGAAGGTTAGGATCAATTCGTTCAAAAAAATTCCACAAGACGCTTTGGTGATACTCTACAACTTTAACCTCGTTTATCAGAGATGGGTCCTTTATCCTCTGTGGTTGTTGTATTTATACTTTGAAGATATTTTCGCGTATTGGCAACAGTTTAATTTTGAACAAATGGCCAAAGTGCACCAAATGATAACCGATCAACTGACGGTGTCCATGATTTCTGATTGTCCGGGCCACAACGACTTCGACATGACCCACAGTAATGTTTCCTATCCGGAACTATCTAACCAGATTTATAGGCACTTTGATCAAATTCGTCGGCACCTGGCGACCGTCACCGGAAACTACAACCAAATCAGCGCCAACAACTTGCTCGTCGGCACTGACGACTTTCAACAGGCCGAATATCTTTGGAACGGAATCAAAAGTGATTTTGGCAAAACCATCAAATGGGGCGACGCGTTTGATGTGTTATGGCAAAAGTACTATGAAGCCAAACATCCTGTGACTCTTTACAATGGGTTGCAAGGCATAAAGGACTATCAATTGGTGTACTTCACCCTGTTAAAAATGGTCGTGTTGCGAATGATATGGATTCACTTGTTGCTGGTCACCGACGAAACCCGACGGGAAATGAACGATGCAATGCATCAGACCGTACGCTCTTTCGGCAACATAACCGGTCTGAACGATGACGCAGCCTTTGCCGATACCGTCAAGTTCTTGAAAGTCAAAAGTCCTTTGCCGGAAGCTTCCAAAGAGGCTATCGAACGTATTAGTTCACAGTTGACGGAAAGCTGTTTGTCGTTCAGTGAATGCGAAGTTCCGGTAATAGACAAAGACAAGATTCCGCAGATCTTTTACGGTTTGGATTTTGTTCACGACTACATAAGTGAAACGGATAAACAGAGAAATCATAAAGAAACTCTATACTTCGTCAAAGGACTCAAAGAAGACGGTTCACGGTTTATCCAGAATGTAGGTTATTTGGAAAACAGAAAAATGGTGTCCGATTTGCAGAAAAACCAATGGATAGCTGCATATTTCGTGAAAGAAGTCAAAACATTGCTGCGTTATTTCGACAAAGATTTTGTCGAGTCGGTTTTAAAGTTGGCGTATCCAATCACTGAGAATTTCTGATTGCTAACATAAAACTATTTGATTAAATTTATTCTACATAAAATATTATATTACTGAGCACCTATGTTTTAATTTGATTGTTAATGCACCGCCTTGTGGCTTTAATAATACCCAATGTTAAAATAAAAATATGTACTACACACAAAATTTGCTTTATACCTAATATACATTTAAATATTCTTGAATAGTTGTTTTACTTTAAAAGACACCCTGATCATATTTATCGAATATTGTCCATTTTTCCCCTTTAATAAACAGCCCATTCCGTTTTCTTTAATCTAACATTGCTCAACTTTGAATGGTAATTACTAGTTCTGAATAATGAATATCTTGTTATTATAATGCGCCGTTACAAACGCGGTAGTACTTAAAAAAAAAATGTTCATTCTTCATTTTATTAGTTTTGAACTAGTAGCGCATTATATATTTCAATATGTTTTTATGTAAAAAAGGTCTGTTTAACATTTAATTTTCAGGAGACTTATTATATTATGTCTAGAATTAATTGTGTTGCTCTTCATTATTTTTATTTATATAACTTATTATTTGTAGAGAATAATATGTCATCTAACTTGCATACTTAACTTTGGTTAAAAATTATTAATTGTACAAAATTAATGATCCATTTTTTTACAATATATAATATGGTCGGTTGTTTATCGAAAACAGCTGTGTTCTATGAAATGTAGTTTGTTTTTAATGTTTGAACTATTTTCATGTTTGATAGTAGGTACTTAACCGTTGTCATATAAATTATAACGTTATATATTTTGTAGATTTACATAAAAAAAAAACTGTTATTAGACTGCCATAAAACGAACGTTACCAATTTTATAGTAATATATTATTTCATATATATTAGTCAAGCGAAAAGGAAACGATTTGAATAAATTTATTATTGAGTATATACTAAATGGTTTTATTCTACATAAAGTATTATATTACTGAGCAATAATCGTGGCCTCACTAATACCCTATGTTAAAATTAAATGTAATACATACATAATTTGCTATATAATTAATAAGCGTTTAAATTTTCATGAATAATTTCCTTAATATTTATTTATCACACTATTATTCTTGTTACGACGAAAACATCAAAGAGACGAGAACATAAAGAGCTAATTTGCATATAATTAAGCTACTTTTTAAGTTATATTCCTATAAATCTACCAACCTTATATTAAAAAGTTTTGACTGAATTTTCGTTTTGTCTTTAACGTTTCGGTACTACCATGGTATCAAGTATCGGTTATATAGCCCTTCTTTAGAGACATACTAGTTCTTTGATAAAATTACTAGGTAAATATAAGTTTTACACTGTAAAACTGTG